GGAATTCCTATACCATATGCTTTTGGCTGGCCTCGAGATGAGATAAGAAGCATTCTTTGCTTCTTTGAATTGAATGATAGCAATTGCTCTTGGAACTTTACCTTTGCCTTGCCTTATCTTAATAGCATAGACAGTATCTTCACCGGTAATCTCCTCTACAAACGGCTTTACTGTGGACACAGAAACATCAAAAGGGAATCCATACAGCTCGATTGTTCTACCCATCCTATGCCAGCTCTTCGAAATTTCCTGTATTGGGAAGATGAAATGATAACCAACAAGGAAAAAACGACGGAAAAAAAAAAAAATTTACTGTGATTCACAACAGGAGTATGTTAAAGATGAAATGCAAACAAATTTTTCAAGCATATTTCATGATGAGCAATGGGGAACAATAAGAAATATTTCAACAGAAGGCCACGTCAGGTAGCGAACACAAAAGAGCTTTATGAATCGTTAAAGGTCGGAATGCTGTGAATCATCATTTCTAGCAAAACTTGTCCCATAAAGCAAATCAGAAGAGTTGGTGATACAGTATCTTACAGTCTAAACAAAGAACCAAACTTAGATGGACTTTTGGACCAAAAAAAAAAAAAAGCCTTAGATAGAGACTGATCTTCTAAAATAAGAACTCAGGATGTAATTTTTTAGTTCAGACTTACCTTCGTGAAAATAGTATTGCAAAAAAAGTAACCAGATAGTGCAATTCATCTGATTTTGAATTTGATGGAGCAAAGATTTGACTGATGAAGATGGAAGTTCTCAAGTGAATCATAATTGAGGATTCAAAGACCGAGTCAGCTTAAAAGAAGAAAATCAATTAACCAGGAAATACAGAACAATTTACTCAATAATGGGTTTTAAAAGGTAACCAATGAAACACATGCTCTTGGTGAAGCTTGGAGTCATCTGCTGAGCATTGGAAAAAAAAAGAGAGTGAATATAGCAATGGTCAAAGGTTAAATCTCAGAAGGTACAAGATGCAACCCGATCTTAGAACAAGTAAGAAAGAGATTTATGTTCACAAACTTCTAAACAGAAAAGTCATTCCATTCCAGCCAAGCGGATCAAACGGGTCGACCGAAGAGGTCCAATTTGTATTCAAGGGAAACTTCTTTTTTCAAGAAAAAAAACTTTTCCTTTTGTATTAAGTTAAATCACCACGAGCAAATTTTAGAGCAACCCAGCAAAGCACCAAAGCAGAAAAGGAAAAACACTCTGAACATCTAATGACACACCAACAAGACAACTAATCCGACATATCCAAAATTCTCGAATAAAGAAAACGAGAAAGAACCCAACAACGTGATATTTCAGGCAGAAACGTAATATTCTTGCAAGAGTAGTGATCAGCCGTGCACCACAAATTTGCATGAATCGAAGTAGAGAGCAGTCGAGGTTTGAGTTAGTGATCACTCATCATCCATCAAAATGCAAAAAGATAATCAAAATCCAGAACTGAGTCTTACCAGAGCAATCACGAGGCAAGGGATCCAACAACAGAGAGAGAGAGAGAGATATAAATTCTTGTTCTTCACTCGTCAACTGGAGTCAACACTCACCCTCTTGACTGCTACTCAGTATTCATCATTGACAGATTTCCACTCTTCCTTTCTCCCCACTTCTCTCTCATGGCACGTCGAAGGAAGCTGCCTATAAATAAAGGGAAAAAAGTTAACGAGAAGTCAGTCAAGAAAGCAAAATAAAAAAGTGAAGAAAATAAGAAATGATTCTATGCGTTTTTAGTTTTTAGTTTTGAAAAATTAATAAAAGTTTTCTATTAAAAAAAATTAATAAAAGTATCTAGATTTTATTTTAATTTGGGATCACGGAGGCACGCTCCTGGTTCGCCGAAAGCAGTCCAACATCGACAATAATCGTATTGACGATGGCTGAAGACGCATGTAAGGTGATATTACCATACCACTATACCACCAAGAAAGAATATAAAATTAATTTAGTTTGTTTGAATTAATATCTGTAAAAAATGATTTTATTTCAATTTATTTTTACAAATCGATATTAAACAAAAATCAATTAATATAATATGATTGATGTTTGAATATGTTTTTTTTAAAAAAATTAGTTGGATCTAAATTTGTTTAGAATAAAATCAAAAACTCATTACTCTAATCCCGTTTAAAGAGTAAAGAAAATGTATTACAAAATATATATATTGAATAAGAATAAAATTAAAATTTTTATTAAATCTTAAGATAGAGTTGCGAAATATGAGTTTTTGGGTTTCTTAAATAAATAATTAGAGCAGTAACTTTGGTTTTTTTCCCAGGTGGGAACCGTTATTTTAGGAGAGACGAATCCGGAATTAACATTTTTTCCAGGCCAAAAAATAAAAAACACAGAGAGAATCTCTTAAGGATTCCGCGAATGGGGATGCACTGGTCCGTACAGATGGGTCCCAGCCTTGGAAAGCAAATCTATGATCAGTGAAGCGAAATTTCGACCAGGCAATAAAGAAAGAGAATGTTTATAGTTTATTTATTTATTTATTTATTTTAATTTTTATTGGGATAAAGCTATATTCCTCTTACGCTAACATAGTACTTAGTTATTAAATTAATTTTAATTCTAAATATAAAACTTGTTTTTTATTTTTATCAGTTTTTTTTTAAATTATTCTTGTTAATACTCCTTTAATCTCAACCAATTAGAAAAGAGAGGAGGAATATGAAAAAAGATGATTATGATATTTTAGGAAAAACATATCATATTTTTATAATTAACTAACTTATCTATCTTTTTTAATATAATCAAATTAATTAAATAAGTTTATATTAAATATCGAATGAGTATAATTTATGTAAAGTTCTATTTCATTAAGAACAAGTTTTTTCTTTTCTTTTTTAGTAATAAGAGCAAGGTTTATTGTAGATAAAAGAGTAAGAAAGACCCTTGAGCTGCTTGCTGGCTTATTCCTTTTAAAATTTTTCCATTCATTCAAGAATGTGATTTTTTTTCAATTCCAAAAATATGGAAGAATTGGACAATCGAAGAATATTCCCATATAATATCCAAGACTAACTTCTAATTTTTTTTATTATAAAAGCTATGATTTTATCATTAATAATTTAACGAGGTACTTATACAAATCAGAATTAAAAATTTAATTTGTTTTACTGATAATATTAGGTTATTTATGGTTTTGATTTCTTACGACTTGTATTGAATTAACTATAAAAAATATATATCTTCACTTATATTAATTTAAAAATAAAATCTGATTTATTAGACATGGCACGTGTAATTGATAGACATGGGACAGTCTTTACTCTTTGCCATTTATTTGCTCATTTGTTATTCCAATTTGCCCATTTATATTTATATATATAAACAGGATTTATAGCCAATAACATACAATTCATTCATCTATTTTTCCTTTTTTTTCTTTAAGAGCGGAAACACGTTTAACTTTTCATGTAAAAATATAATCATTTTTTTATTATTACTTTTTTTGCTTTAGGGAAAGTTAATGAGTGAAGCAAGCTAGAGAAGAATCTCATCCATGGAGTAGAGATGAAAATAAAGAGCAGAATAAGCCATAGCCCATGAGGGAAGACTCCTTGGTGATGAAGAAGTATTATCTCTGGTCAAAAAAAAAAAAAAAGGAACTTGGCGATGAAGTATTGAAGGGGCCCATATATTCCATTTCATTCTTCCTCCTTTCTTCCTCCTCCATCATTTCATTCTTTTCTTGTTCCACGCAAAGATCAAAAGCAATCTCCTCACCTTATATTATATATATATATATTATTAAAAGTTAAAAAAGCATGAAAATGAGAGAGAAAAGAGCCAATGATTTTTCTAAACCGTGCCTTATTTATTAATTCGTCCATGAGGGCTTATAAAAGAACAAATGAATGAGACAGTCTAATAAATCCGAAGTGAATCTACAATAATTGTGATTGGGAACGTAAACAAAATAGTACTAGAAAAACTATCCTGCATGAAAATGACCAAGTAAATCGTAGTAACCCACCCCCATTTAATTTCATTAATACCCTCCCTCGAGCTCAGGATCTCGTGTTTGACATTTAATTTTCCTGTTGATCAGTGCATATAGGGTTATGAAGAAAAATGAAATAGCCTAATAAATACAAAATCAGTCCACATTAATAATAATAATAATCACAATAAATGTGATGATCGTTAACTACTGAATAAGAAATTACTACAAGGTAATCATAATTCAATTACAATTAGATGTTGCATTTGGAGTTCACTTCTAAAGGCTTGTTTCAAGCTGCTTTTTATAAGCAAACACGTAAGTTGAAATAAAATTATTCTTATATATTATTTACTTTATATTTCATAAATTATTATTAGAAAGCTGCATTTAAAAGGTTCCAAATAAATTTAGACAAAATAAATAAGAAATAAAAAAGAAAGTTCAACTGTTAGTTGGCCCGAAAAAAAGAAAAGAATTACAATGAGGCCTCAAGCAAGAAAAACAAGTCTCAGAAGTTGTCATTCTCACTATAAAACTTGTCATTATAAGTTGTTGAGGTTGTTACTGAGACTTTTTGGTAATTATTTCTTTTCTATAAGACTTGATTGTAATTCTCCAAAAAAAAAAAAATTCGGCCATTGACATGTTTGGCATCCAATAAAAATAACCAATTTGATGGTTTTTTTTTTCCTGGGGGAAATTTGATGGATTAATTTGTAGGCCATTGGATGATGATAACTACGTGACAGAAAATATTGAATCACCATAATTGTTAATTATAAACTTTAAGTAAAAAAAAAAAAAACTTTAAGTAGAGGCTAGTCAAGGTCAAAAAACATAAATAAGTGGTTGGCTTAAAAAAAAAAAAAAAGCCGGGCATCAGAGTGTGAAAAGAGGCATCCTAATCCCTGACACAACTTTGGCCATTTCGCATGCTTGCTTTTGGGAAAGAGTCACATCTGCTGCATCAGCATGTACGAATACGATAATGAATCCCCCCTCCCTCGGCAATTGGGATTCAAGGAACCATTCATTTTACGTTATGGAATTGAGAATCCTATTTGATGGCCAAAAGCAATATTGCTATCCAAGTGATTCATCCATAATGAAGCAAAAGTTGGAAAGTAAATCTAATACATGATGTCTGCTGATTATTCTAACGAGCCCCAAGTAGTGATCTGGTCTCCAAAGTTAAGCAGCAGCATTTTTATAATGAATTACAATTAGCTGGGGCATTTTGCAAAGGAGCATCTTGAAGAGGTACAAGCTTTGCTCGTCCACCATACTCTTCAGGCAGAATCTCTTCTCCTATCTCTCTTACAAACTCTCTCCTCTCCTCCTCACTGCTTACTATCACAATCTGCATTCACAGCAAATACAAACATCCTCAGCGTTTTCAATCATTTCTAACAACTATAACAATGCAAATGAAATATGCCATACATGTGCTCCAAAAATTGTTTGAGTCATTCTCTCTTCAAATGTATGTACGTATATGTGTATGAGTACGCACGTATGGATGGATGTAGATGATTCATTTTTTAAAAAATTAAAGGGCTGATACTAACAGTCAGATTACAGAAGGAATTAAACCTGAAAGCCTGCAACCTACCACTTATAAGGAGGTTTCATGCCACTAGGCTAGAGGTCATCCAATTTAGTCAGGCTACTCCACTTTCATTATGGAAATTTACTTAAGACATTGTTATAATAGTACTTTGGAATTAAGTAAGCTAATTAAACTTACCATAAAAAGGTAAAAAGAAACTAATTAAGCAAAATATCACTTTCTCCTACAAAGGTATTACTGCACCAGCAATTTTGTTTTATTTTTTCTCTCTCTTTTTTCCGGCTTTGATTGCAGTTATGTGATTTCTATGCAGGCGTGTATGAGGGGAAATGTCACTAGGCAATTTCTATACTGGTATCACTTTTGAATGAGAACAAGCTGCCTGCACCCATGATAAATTCTGGACTTCAGATGGATAGATACCTTTTCCAGTGTAGCCTTCTCTAGAAACCGAGAAACTAGTCTCCAAACCGCCACAAAAAACTGGGGCATGTGGACTAAATAGCACTTTGCAAGACGTTCAGGATAGTATGCCTGACATTTTGACAAAAGGTAACAACAAATGAAGTCAGATCTGACGAGCTAACCCATTACAAACCCCTGAGACTCAAGATTGCAACATGGAAATTCTGACTTTAGAATACTTCAATCAATGACCAGTTTATAAATCAGATTATTTCCAGATGAAAAGGTTTAAAGTTGAAAAGGAGGAAACCAAATGACAACATGTCTTGGCATTTATCACATTCATCACACATTTATCTATGACCACATAAAATTGCAAGGAAGAAGACAAGGCAAGTCACCTGTAAAAATTGAAATCCTGTGATTAACCCGCGAGCATCAATGTTTTTATATGTGATATGCTGCAGATCAAGGATCCCAATCAACTTTTCATTTCCTCTTTCCCTTTCTTTGATGGCACTAAGCACCAAAAAAATTTAAAATGATTAATTCCTCAGTTTTCTACGAGAATGAAACAGAAAGCACAGATAACAAGATAATGGAAGCTATGAGGGTTTTTTTCCTCCCAAAAAAAAAAAAAAAACGAATGTGCTGAGTTATTGATGGAATATAGGTTTTGAGATACTATGGATTTTTCTCTGAGATAATTAGGATTTCGTGTTTATTAACATCTTCTTTTAGATTTGACTTAAATTAGGATTTAGATTATTCTTAAATAAATTACCTGAACTTTTACAGTTTTATCTAATCTTTTAGGATTTGTTAGATTTAGATTAGATTATTATTTTGAATAATTGTGCCTAGGAGTCTATAAATAGCCCAAAGGTCTTCTGAATTGTTTGAACTTTTCGGTGATTCAAATAAGAAAGTGAATCTTTGAGTTTTCTGTGTTCCTCCGTTTTCTTCTGTTTCTCCCTCCTTTCTTTCTCTTCTCTCTGTCCCCTTCCCTATTTCAGATCGCTTACTTTCTAAAGAATGGCAAGCTTTTATAATGACAAAACAAGCACATATAAACTAGACAACTTCAAATGAAAAATCAACTACCAAGCAGTTTCTCCTATTGATGTGTTAAATTTACAATGCTTCAAGAAACAACTTAAAATATGTCGCAAACTTTCAAAAAAATGCAAAGAAAAGGTGCGGTATGGGCTTCAAGAGTGGTCCATGGCTCTCACTTGTTTGTTAACCATAGTAATCCAACGATGATTCTCTGATTTTGTCACCTTATTGGATGTGAACTCATATGTAATTAAGAAAAATCTCCTAGTCTGAAACAACTGTAGCTTTCAGGTCCCTGTTTTCTGTTGCCTCCATCACAGTATGGAGTATGGACACAGTCTCCATAAATATCATAATCATGGTTATTTAGCAGCTTCAGTAGTTCAGTTACAATTATTTTCTAAACTGATTTTGTTATCTGAAATGCTACCAAAAGTAACGATGAAGATGTTCATCATATTTATTATAACAGTAAGTATGGTCATGCTACCATCCAAAATAAATTATTTCTAAAAATTGGTAAGTGAACCCTGTAGCAGTAAAAATAAAGAGTACCTTGCAATTGTCTTGTCTAGTAAATGAACAACAAATTCTGCACCAAAAGACAAGAGAAAAGCATCAGCCATAAGCTATCCTGAATAAAGGTCTAAATTCAAATATTTTTAGTCATTTATCTCGTTGAGGTAATATCCTCTTTCTAATGTTTACCAGACAAGAATTTGAAAATGAGAAGTGAAAGAAAGTAGGAAGAAATGAGAATCAGAACCCCTGATGATATAATTTCCAAGTTGTGATCATCAACTCCAGTAATGTGGCAACCATATATTGACTTAATTAATTGGAAACTTTTAAGAAAAGAATCCCGGATGGCAATTCTGCCTGTAAATTTCATTGGATAAGTTTCCCTATATCATAATTACAACCTAGTGGACTAAGAAACATTAAATCAAACAACAACCAGAGAAGAGAATTTAAAATGAAGTGAAAGAAAACTTGTAATATGGTACGTATCTGTAGCATCTGAGAACTTAAACTAATTTTTTCACCTTGATAACTGATCATGCTGTGACATTCAAAAATGAACCTGCTTTCTCATGCTTGAGCTGAAAACTTATCAGTTCCCTTTCTCTACTTAGTTACAACCCAAACAACAAGTCTTTTCCTGAAAAACTGATAGTTCATCAACAGCCTACTAATTCAACCTTGAAATGAGATTATTTAAGCTGTCAAGATCCTAAACTTTCAGACTGTTCTAACTGTCAACATTATGTAAACATAAACTATGGTCTTTGAACCCTTTCTTGTAAGTTCCTATGTAGAACCTTGATTTTAAGATGTCATAGCCCAGGAAATTCTATATGTACACAAGTTCCTCTACCCGACATTAAAGATAGTAACATTCACAACAGGCCATGTTCTCGCATATTATAGTTCTCATTGTCTTAAATAACTTCAAACTCTATATATTCAACATAAACTTTAAAGAATATGATAACTAATTTTCAGGTAAACCGATACCGCTAGTTATTCAGGCAGAAAAAATTGTCACAAACCAGACCAGTTTCATGATCTCATATACATTTAGAACAGCTGAATGACAATAGATAAAACGCAAATGTTCGTATCAAGGACAAACTTAAGGGTGCAAACACGTCTCAAGCCCTCGAGCTGACGCTCGAGCGACTCCGCATGTTGCGCCTCAGCGCATCCGTTTTCTTGCTGGGAGAGGAGTGTTATTAATAGCAGGCAGAGCAAATGAATAGATTATGATAAGATTAAAATCAACATATGAAGGATTTAGAAGTGATTTTTTAATGGACAAGGAATAAAGAATAAGCAGTTCTTTAACTTCCACTGTTGAAATGACTTAAAGGTGATAAGAGGAAAGAATAAGGCAACAAATGACAGTTTTCCAAATAGATACCCAAGAGTTTCTGAGGAAATATAAAATTAGGATGCGGCAAATAGAGTGGCTTAGACCCTTAGATCCATGCAGCCCAATAAACTCACCATTACTGACATGTTCGTTTTTTTCATCTTACAATTAACAATAGCCAAATATTAAGAGCAAAATAAAAGAAAGAACTGTGTCTTGAACTACAAAAATTGAACAAAAAAAGACAAATACTATACGACAGATGGTTAGGCTCATTTATTAAGTGACACATCCTTCGGGCCCCCCAATCTTCTGAATAATAGCACACCTATTTTCAACCACAATATTTAATGCCACCAGTGGAGATCAGATGGTGGCCCAACTTCTCATCGCAAATACCAGCAATAACGCTATTGGTAATAAGCATACCTCTAGAATTAGTAACCAACCAGCCACATAAAATATTGTATCTCTCGGCTATCTATGCATGCAATTTTATGAACACCATAAGGTAATTCGAGCGGAACCAACCAATCACATAATAATAGGCGATCATACGGGTGACAGAACGACTCAAGAAGAAGGAACAAAGGAGAAAGTAAAGGAAAGTAGACGGAATGAATCCATTGAGTCACTGACAAATTTGTTAGAAGCTTTAATTAAGACATGTTCATCCGAGGGACCACTGAGAAGATAAAATAACCCAAAAAGGTAAAAGCATCTTAAACTGACTAGATTAGAATCAAATTTCTAAAAACTGCAAGAGTAAAGTAACTTATTTAGCAATTTAACCACGAGTAGAATATTATGTGTAAAAAAACTTAAGGCAGGAAGTTAACTCTTGAATTGATTCTGATCCTTGGGAGGAAAATGCTTCCTTCCTTGGATGATCAACAAGGGGTATTTATCCTTGCACAAACCCTGCAAGAAGACTTTTCTCCCTTCCAGTTCATCTGGAACTTCAGATTCTGAAATGAAACCACTGGGCACCATCTTAGCCCTCCACTTCTGGCACTGAACAAACATCTTAGCTGCTTTGTCCGGGTCCATTGATCGAGCAATCAAGAACCTCACAAGTGTAGGATCCCCATACATCTGCAAATTTAAAACCCATGAACAACAACAACAACAACGACAAACAAAAACAAAATTGAGTTTTGCGCGACCTCAGCAGAAGAACCAAGCTTCTCAACTGATTTCCTCATCTGGGTCAGTGCAAATTCTTGCCCTTCTTCCATTTGGTGCTCGAGCAAAGCTTACAAGGCTAATTAAAACTGATGGGGTCGTCCTCAAGCTAGGAGAGCAGAACCCAGAAAAAAAAGCAAGAAGAAGACACTTGCAAGTTTTGACCCAATTTTCAGAAGGACAAGTTGATGCATTCAAACTTGAGAGGAAGAGAGAGAGAGAGCGTGTGTGGCCAAGGCCTACGGAGTAGGAGGATTTAATTTGCCTTTGACAAAACGGAAGCTTGGCGGGCAATAAGAAGACGACGAAAGGCGGGGAATCGATCAAGATAGAGAAATCAGTGTAGGGAAAAGAAAGAAGACGTTAAAGAATAAATATCAAGTTTAAGATATTTTTAGTTTTTTTATCGACTTGAATTAATGAATTCATCATGGGCAATCGAGGATTGTCAGTCAATGGTAAGCTGGTAACCAGAGCTAAGCGTCGTGAAACACGTTACTTCTTTAATCTTATTTATAAGAAATTTTTAACATATTTTATATAGATAAAAAAATTTTAAAATTTTGAAAATTTTTATTTAAAATTTAACAACTTTTCATGTTTATCCTATTTAATATATATTATATTTCATATAAACAAAGTCAACATAATAATAAATAAAGGGTAAAATTAAATATCTATATAAAAAATTTCTTCAATACCTTATAAATAGGATTAAAAAATGTTTTCTTTTTCTGTTTATAAATAGACTAAAAAATATTCTCTCTTTGTTTTATCAATATGATCAGAGTTTCCGCCCTTTTTGCTTTTTCTTTTTGCCAACATATTATTATTACTATATTAGAAGACATATTTTCCAAAAAAAATTTATATTTCAATTTTATAATACAAATTTTTGAAAAAATAAATAATTAATATTTTATAAAAAAGGGATCTAACAAATAAAAAAATTACTTGATCGACTGATCCGTGTTAGTTGAGTTCATTTCCTATTGATCCATGGTTCTTATTATAAAGTCTTTTGCAAGTAGTTAAATTTTTCAAAAATGTTTTTGAGATTTTCTAACTAACTAAACAACCTCCTAATTGGTATTAATTGAACTTCCTAACCCTGGCAAAACTGTTAACATGAGAGGCGCATATCAACTCTGAGCAAAGCAGGCTCGTTATAGCAGTGTTCTACTGTTTTTCATCCCTAGTTCCAGTCCGTTCGGCTATTTTACCGTGCATTTTTTCCTCTCCTGAGAATATTATACTTCGTAGTTTTATCACCCACATGTTTTAGATTTTCTTTAAAATTACTTTATTGTCAAAGTTTTTAATAAGAGAATGATATTTGTTAGAAAAAAGAAATTAAAGCATATATTAAGAAGATTTCTAATAAAAATTAGACATACTTCCTTATGCATTACAAGCCATCTAAAATAACTTGGACTATTCATGATTGATAAGTAACAGTGGGCGTAATTTCCGTAAAATTTCGCGCAATTTTCAAAATAAAAGGAAACTATTGTCTCTGGATAAGAAAGCGACATCTAGTTACATTGTCTAGAATTAAATACTAATATCATGTCCATTCCCAACTAAAAAAGATACTCCTACTGTCACGTAAAAAGTCGGATTTTCTATCGTCTCTTTCTTCTTGCTTTCTTTCTTTTTTTGTTTTTTTGTTTTCCCTTGGCACTTGGGTAATGGTTCCCACTTCACAGCCAGATTCAATTATTAAATCGTTGAACAATGGTCCAACCAATCGTGGCTGCATTTAATACCAGGCCATATTGACTGGTACTCTGGTAATGAAGACGAGACTAGTTTAGGTGAGGTTACAATTACATACAGCATATAACTAGTGATTCCACTAGGATAACATTTCCAACAGCATAAAAACCCTAACTAACATTGATGGCAATAAGCCGATAATTTGGACATAAACTGTTAGTTTTATTTGCCCTACAAACTAGTTGACAGGTAATAAAAATTCCTAAAGACATGTGCAGCTTCTAAGGAGAGCAAGCCAACATGCATAATACTGATACTTTATACAACCATCATTAAGCTCCAGAATACAACCGAGTCTGGTTCAAGCAGCAAGAAGTCCAAAACTAGTTTGAGGAAATAATCTCTACTAAACAAGATCCAACTGAATCTCTACTAAACAACTGATGATGAAATAATCTGTACCTTGGAGGAAAATGGCTTTCTCCTCGCCATAGTTCAGCCTGTTGAAAACAAGATTCGGACTGAGACATTCACTAACAATGCGTAAATGAATATGGAAGTAATAGCTCCCTCTTTTTTCATTTACAATGACCTCGGACCTTAGTATTTTAACTATTCAATTGCTACCATGTATAGAAACTATTACTCAGAAATTTAGAAAAACAGGTTTTAAAAATAAACCTAGCAAGTTACCTATTCAGCGAACACATTCATGGGATCAGATGGATATCTTTGTAAGACTGGGGAGCCCACTTTTGAATTATCCATAAAATCCATATTTGGCTCCTGCTTCACTGTGTTACCATTGCTATCTAGAGGGATTTTTCCCTGACTTAAGTCACTGACGGATGATTCAATTTCATGAGCAGCAAACCTACTTGGAATACTGCTACCTTGGCCAACAAATCCAAGATTTCTTACATGTGCTTGATCAATTGCATCACCAGATTTAGTACCACCATATGGAACTTGTGTCTCAGACACGTTTGATGAAAGAGTTGGCAAAGGTCTAACAGTACCGAATGCCAAAGATGGGTTATGAAGCTGTTGGATATTGCTGTTGTTAGCGCTTATTGGATGCGACGATGTTGAGTGCGAAATGGAGCTTGGAGCCACATATCCACAAAGAACACCTTTAGCTTTGGTGTCCCCGCCAGGAAATTGAGCAATATTTAATGAAGGATGATTCGATTGCGGTGTAAAGAGACTATAATCCATAAGGACATTCCTGGCCAAACTGGAATTCTGGTTGACAGAAGCAGGACCGTTAACCTGGAAGGTGCCTGAAGTCTGAGAGGGAGCCACCAAGCAAGATGGCTGAACATTGATGGAACGACTTTGATCATGCATCAGCGATTGCTGCTGCAGCTTATGCTGCTGTGTTTGCTGGAACTGCTGCCTTTGCTGGTGCTGCAGTATATCCACCAGCATGTCATTATTTTGAACACCCACCCTTCCATGATTACTATTGGGTGCCATTGAACCAATTGTATCAGATGGCGGCCATGTTCCATAACCTCGAGATGCATCATCCACAGTAAGGATGGATCGAGGAAAATTCTTGGCAACGTTGGAAGGACATTTTACTAGAGGCTGACCATATGCCACAGAATGTTCTGCAGGGGAATGCTTCGGGCCTTGTATGGAAGCTTGCAGAAGAGAAGTCTGGTCTACAGTCGGCACCAAGTTAGTGGCCGGACGACCTAAGAGTTCTGCATGAAGGGCTGCCAGTGTTTGAGGAGGAACTTGGCCAGCAGCAGCAAGAGCTTGGATGTCTAACCTTCCAAGTCCTCCTAGCCTGGATTCCATAGACCCAGAGACTGTGTTTGGAATCCCATTCTGTTGTTGTGCCACTCCACTTATTCTCTTCAAATAAAGTCGAAATTTCTGCCAATCAATATTGCAATTCATAATGACAACATGAACTCCAGTTCTGAAACCACAAGAAACAACTTCGAGAAACTCTTGAACTCAGCTGAGCTTTTGTGTGTAACTTTTTCCAAGTAAAATGTAATTAGCCAAGTATTTTCTGCAAAAATAATTTACAATATCACTTCTTCTCATGTCACTCTTGGCCTCTACTTCTTCCTCATACTTGACAACTCTCTCTTTCACATCAGGTACATATTCAAACCATATTAATAGTTTGCATTCCCAAGTTGAGTTTACCATTATACTCACCCTAATTAAACGATTTATCAACCTCTATTTCTTCCATTAGCACATAATTTAGTTAAATTATTATCTCTGGCACAACTATTATTCAAATATGTTGCTTGACAGCATCGAACGTCATTCACATAACACAAAGGGCCATATTAGCGATAAGTTTCCTTTCTATTAAATTCATCAATCCTCGTTTATGAGCTATAGGCTTCTAGATGTCCAATAATAAAATATCAAAGCATATTAAATTAAATTATCAAGAATTTCGTGTGTGATGAGTCATTTTATGTGACAGATTTCGCATGAGAGTATTAATAAGTCGGAACAAAATCCATTTTCCAAAAACAAAGTAAAGTTACACAGAAACCCAGAACAAAACAAAAGTAATTTACTAAATAACCACATGGAAGTAAATTGAATCAAACCTGCAGATGACTCGCAACATTTTCTCTTGTCAAACCAGGGACATTCATAAGTTCAAGAATTCTCTTTGGTACAGCCTCTGATACAAATGGCAAAAAGAACCTCGTAAGTTCGAAAAGAGTTTATTTCGTAGAATAATCTTTATACATACCCCCCTCCTCTTATTTATGGGGCATCTCCAACATGTTTTATACGAACCAAGGAAAACGTTAAACTGTATTAGCTCTGCCTTAAAATATAACAACTTTCCAACTTTATCCCTATTTAATATATACACTTTTCAAAACATAACAATATATACTATAATAAATAAAGGACAAAATAGCACATTCATGCTAAACATTTAATGAAGACACCCATAAATAGGACCGATTCTCTCTGCCTCATAAATAGAACCAGAGGGATATTTCAGTAACACCAATGCAGTCAGTTCACTGGATAAATATGCAAAAAGCAAGAGAATTAACATAAAGCTAGAATGTTGAAGATTCATACTGTCAAGCCCAAGTTGGTTCACAGCACTGACAAATTGTTGATGCAGTTCTACTGACCAGACCACACGGGGTTTCTTAGATGTAGATGGATCATCATTCTCCAGCTCACCATCATCATCTTCTTTTGAGCTTATCCTCTTTTTTGGCACTTTAACTACTTCTGCCGCATCAATTACAGATGAAGCATATTCAGTATCATCAGTTCCTTGTTTATTCCTATCATTGTCTTCCAAGCTGCCAGAATTTTCATGTTCTTTATTTTCATTCCACATTTTCCTAAGAACGTGCTGCCATATATTCCGCAATTCCTCCTCACGAACAGGCTTAATCAAATAGTCACAAGCCCCATGTCTAATACCCTTCATCACAGCACTTGTTCTACCGTCAGCAGACATCACTGCAGAATATTAACAATTTGCAAAATAAATATTAGGATGAATTACTCTCCCCTATCTGAGAGATGTCTAGATCACAAAATCCTCCCCGTCTATCATTTAAATATACACAAACCTCCCTTGAAGCCAAAATATTGCTAAAACACCCTTAAACAAAATATTATTTTAAAATATAGGTTATTAAAAATTATATTTCTTAAAATTTCATTTTAATGTTATCTATTTCGTGTTGAAAAATATAAATTGATTTGTTCTAAATTATTAAAGTGACTATATTATGTTGGATCGATCATATACCCATCCAAGACTCTATATATGTCACAAATATAAGTATATGTTGGTCAAAATAAACATGTTTATAGCTTCTATTTTTTTGGTTACACAGGAGATTAGTTGGTAAATATTTTGATTCCGAGAGAAGAAGGTGTAACTTTTGGAAAAAGGACAAAGCTGAGTGATTTGAGCAGTTCTCAAGGAGGGGAGAATAATTTATCCCAAATGTCTCAGTCATTGAAGTACATTTCCGCAATTATAGAGACAAGAACAACAACACTTACTGATAACAGGAAGATCCATCTCCAGCCCAACATGTTCTAGGAGTTTATAACCATCCATGTCAGGCATATAAACATCACTCAGTACTACGTCAAAACAGCCTTTTTTTCTCGTAGAAGATTTAAAGCAACAGTAGCCTCAGAACACGTGGTGACTGCAAGTAAACAAATAATCAGTTAATTAACATGAAACCATTGTCCAAGTTTACAGCAGCTACTAGTGTGCCATACTAGACATAGCCTATAATCTCAATTAGTTCCGGACTATTACTAGTAGAATATAACACCCCAAAAAATAGATATTCCTTATCATACCCTCAAGAAAAGTCTCCTTCTCATCTCCTTAAACCTTAAGATACAGGAGAAACTATATATTTTATATTCATTATCCAGGGAAAAAAACTCATTCAATGATATGCAATTAGAACAAGAAAGCACATACAAGCTATAAGGAGCGTCCAATCTAAAAGGAAAAGAATAACACGCAAAATCTTTTGGACATAAAATCTATTAAAGCAAGAAAAACGACTTTAGGTTATATGGACATCACGCAGGTATGCATAAATTGTTAAATGATAGACAAGATCCTCAGTGTTCCCTTATGAAACATCCAGCGATTTTACCTTAGATCCTTGGATTTAAAGTAGGAGCAGCTAATTAGATGGTGTCCAAAAAAAAAAAAAAATCTGCATGCAGCATGCTAATTGTGGCAGACGAAAAATGCAACAATATAGGGAAAAAAAATAATTTACTTTCTCAAAAATGCTAATCAGCGTATTTAAATCAGAGTCTACATCTTGGCAAACCAACCCGCCCCAAAAAAAAAAAAAAAACTCATTTTACAAATCAAGTTGTTTTTTTAAAACCCCTTTTACAATTCAAACTACTCGCATTGCCAACAATTCACAAATTTAGGACAAAAAGGATTATTCTGTGGTCAATGTGAAACAAACAAAATGGCCAAATTTAAACGGTTAAAATTAACACTCAAAATTTGAACAAAATTTTTGCAAGCAATTCAAATAACCCACTGCCTAAGTGTCGATCATGCCATATCTACAATCAACCCGCAGGTATTAAACAAACTTTTCCATGCTCCAAATTCGTTTAAAAGATTCATGTTACACCAATTCACAATCTATCGGGATGAATAAAATGGGCATGAAAATTTTCCCAAAAAAGAAAAAGACTAACCGCGATAATGACACTTAAGAGACATTTGTTCGATGATTTTCAGAGTAGTGATGTCATCGTCCACAACGAGAACCCTCAGACCAACTGGGAACTTATCAGGAACCACCTTCTCAATAGATGCAGCACCACCACCTTTGCAGCTGCCATAGCTGCTTACACTAGTGGTCATGCTTGACTGTGTCACTCTCTGCAAAGCAGCCATTGCAGCAAAATCTGACGCAGCAAAGCCACAGACAGCCCAACACTATATATAGCCCCCGAAATTCGCCATAATCAAAGACAACCGAAGGAATTGGAAACTAAAACCCTAGAATCTCCCAGGAAAAGGAAAGAAATTGAACGGCTTAAAAATCAGATCTGCCAGAATTGGAGAAAAACTCGGGAGAGTTGAAAAGTTTCCAAAATTGAAATGAAAAGGGAAAGGAAAGAAAGAAGGGAGGAAACGAGAATGGTGAGAAAGAAAGATAACGCAGAAATGAACAAGGGGAAGAAACGAAAAAAATTGACATGGTCTTTATTAATACTCATTAATCATTGATAATGTTTTTTTTTCCCGGTTCAATGTTTTTTTGGCCATTTTTTTGGTTCAGTGTTACTCGTTTTAAACTTTAAATAAATATTTTGGATTACTGAAGAAAGGCGTGATTAAAAAAAGGGAGGGTAATAATTGGAGGGAAGATACGGGCCCACAAAGTCGTCTGCGGCTATAGCCGCTAACAAACATTGGCTATTGCCTCCCCGGATGGGCCCCACTTCTCGTGCTCATTAGTTGTCTTTTAATTTGTGAATATTTAAGGTTTAAGCTAATAAATTATCCTCTCTCTGTTTTTGTTCTTCGGTTAGGAATGCTATACGCCTTCGTGAAAACAATAATACTGTTAAAGCAGGTATATATGTCTTTGTAAATTTGTGGTGTATTGTTGTTATTTTATTATTATTACTAACTCCGGTCCTTGATACTATCTCTGGTTCTAATTATAAGACCTTATTTATATAAATTCTTATAATTAGGATTGAAGGTAGTATAAGAGTTTGTTTAATTTTTATTTTAATCCTAAATATAAGATCCCACTCCACTTTATCTCTCATATTTATCTATTTTTTTCAACACAATTTGTGTAATAATAGTAGTTTTAACCAATACACTTAATTAACAAGTATATTTGAGCAAAGACAATATCTATTTGTTACAAATAACTAACATAACTAACTTCCTTGATCTACTCAAATTGGTCATCTAACTCTTATATCAAAGACTGAAAAGGACTGGAGGTAGTATTACTACTTCCTGTCCTTAATATAAGAACTTGTTTAACTTTTATTTTGATTATAAATATAAGATCTCAATTTACTTTATCTCTCATGTTTATCTATTTTTTTTTCTTAAAATAAGCCTTGCAGTAGTAATAGTTCTGGCTAATATATTTAATTATAACTTTTCAATACCTTGATAACTCATCAAACCCTACAGGCAACAAATCATTTTCCTTTTCTTCGGGTGTGTTTGCATTCACGTTTTGACACCAAAACATGTGATTCAAATGGCAAACGATGCTTTTTCAGAAAATGTAGTGTTTGGTATAGTGTTTGTATAATCTGACTTTTGAATCTCAAATAGACTTATGGAAGAAGCTAATCAATCATGCTTTTACTAGTAGGAGGTAACAGTGCGGTGGAAATGTAGCATTTTTTAATTTCTTTCTAATAATAAATTATTTTCAATATTTTTTTTTTACGATTGTCACATTATATACGTTTAATATTAAATATGTACTACCTCTGATTTTTAATATAAGAGCTAGTTAATTAATTTGGAGAGACTAAAAAAGTTAGTTAAATTACTTATTTATAATAAATAGTTGTTGTTTTATACTTAAAATCAAATTTAATGTCAAACCAATTCTTATATTGAGGACCGGAGGTAGTACTACTTAATAAAATTCATATCTTTTTTTGTTCATTTTGCATATAAACTAACTTTTTTATTAATCATCCAAGCAAGTTTTAATTTCTCAAACTGACTTTTTTACAAAATCCAATCCAAACATAAATCATATTATCCTATCCGACTTTTATCTAATCTGACTTTTATAAAAGTCATGTTGAAAAAAAGTCACTCCTCCCACCGCTAATCCAAACACACCCCCTTGTCTCCTTCAAAATATGGGCCACCTAACTTGCAACGAAACCAGTAAACTCTTGCCTTGTTCTTGATGGTGTGATGGCGATCGGCAGTTGGAGACAGCCGGCATGATTAGGCAACGGCAAGGACAGGTTGGACGAGAGGAGGAAAGGAGTAGATGAAGGAGCAAAGAAATAGAGCCAAGAAGAGTGAGTGAAGAACGGGGGTGAAGAGTGGGAAAAGTTTTTTTTTATTTTTTCCTAAGAGTAATTATTATTTTAACAGTACCTTACCATCCACCTATAAGCACGATAAAAAAACAATAAGTAATTTTGAGGCACTTAACTCAATCAGGCTTATGATTCCAGCTTTTAGCCATTAAGTAGGATAGAGAATAAGCTTATCCAAAGGGGCAGAATTTCTTAAACGTGCTTATAATTGAGTAAGTTACTTTTAAGCTCCTCAAATGCTTGAACAAACAGGCTCTATGTCTGTAAGTTCAACTATTTATTTACTCATTATTATGATTTAGAGTAAGTCAATATTTTAATGGGCAATCCTCAATCGAGCGATTTTATAAATTGTTTCGTAGAAAAATGTTTATCATTTAATATACTCATGTGAATTATTTCAAGCAAAAATTCGTCTCATTTGATTATTTTAGAATGCGTACACAACAACACACATAAAGGAAATATAGTGAAGAATAAAAATAATATTCTAACTTAATAATAAAAATAATATTCCTACAATAAACAGCGTTAACTCGGACCAAATTCTTATAAAACTATAGATACATTAACTAAAATTAAAATTTGATCAAAGTAAGGAGCCAATCTTTTTAAGAATAGTTAAACTGAAAATCATTTCATCACATCCCAAATAACCACACATATGCGTTTAATATTACTTGTTTGGAATGTCGTTGGAGCATTTAAAAATAATTTTTAATTATAATCTACAGAATACGCGACATGCATCGTGAAAGGTTCCAAACAAGTTATAAGGTCTACACATGCGCACAGATACCGGGGGGGGGTTATGTACCTGGATTGCGTAACGTTATCCTAAAGCACAGGTTCGTCTGCGGCGCACTGTCCTTCTTCCTGCTAGGGAAATTACTCCATCTGCGGAGATTTTGCTCACAATTTTCCTCTGTGTTCTGATTTCTAATGCTGAAAAATTTAGGGTTATGGCCAATGGTACAGACATCAATGCCCCCTATCTCAATGCTGCAATCTTCTTCGACGCGCACCTGTCCTTGTAATTCTAGCTTCTGCTCTACCGTTCAAGCCTCGAATCTGAGACGACAAAGGGTTTTGAGCGCTTTGTGTAGAGCGAGGCGGCGAGTTAGGTACGAAGATGACGATGTAATTGAAGACGAAGATGGACACAATGAGCAGATTGCTAAGTTGGAACTGTATAGTCAATCGGCCAGAGGAGAAGCTCTGCTTGTTCATGCACTCGTGGACGGCGAGGACGTGGATGTGCTTATCTTCAAGGTCAGTTTACTCCTGAAATTAAAGAGTACTTAATTACTACACCATAGAAATTATTCATAATCAGAATCAGAACTCTTTGTTAAATTCACACGAGAACAAGGGATTGAATTTGAATGCCGAGCCAAGTGGTTCCAAACCCATTTGGACATGAATCGAAACGGGTTCTCTTTGATTTCTTATCAGTAAATAATTCTAACTTCCCCCCCGGTTAGGATAGTTTATAATCAAGATGAACTTCTGGAAAACTATCACTGGACTTCGACAATAATGTGAATCTGACTTTGAATTAATGGAAGAACTTTGGGTAATCTTGTGGAATTTATGTGATAATCTACTAGTTTGCAGATATGTTCAGTTGTGTTAAATGTTAATGTTTAGTGTGAACGTTTCAGGGATTCTCTTCATGCTTGAGCTATAGAACCTCGCCTGATCCTACAAAGAGCGTTCTTCCGGCGAGGGCAGTGATAGAGTCAATTGACAGAATCAAAGGGCCATTTGACCCTAACAATATTGAGTATCTGGAGAAAGGTATAACCTGGGAAGCATTCCTGGACAGATATAGTTGACCGGTGACATTATATAATTATGGATTGAAGAGGTTGTGACCTGTAAGTAACCTCCCCCCCCCCCCAAAGAAGTGTTTTAACTTTTTAATGAGCATTGTTTTTTTTTTTTTCATTCATTTTACAACCCTGTGCTTTTGTTTTTATTTTTAAATATTATCGAGTTGTCACTGTTTGTGAGAACAAATGTGGTTTTCACTGCTTAGGCCATGAAATATATTTTATCTTCGAAGAAAATCTTAAATGGCTTAAGATGATATAGTTTTTCAAATTCAGTGAATAATTGAAAATAGTTTTATCATGTAAATTGCAAAATCAAATTTTCAAGGTGTTCCAAGTCCACACGCTGTGTCTTACAAGTTCCATGATCGATCTTTACCCTCACCAGGGTGCTCCCTCATCTTATGCGACGTTGGAATTGGTTAATAGAACCTTTCACGCTGACAAAAATCCCAGTGAAGTGATTGGTGTTCCTTCATCTTTAAAAAAAATCAAACGCACTGAATTAAAATTGATTTACCCACAGAAAAAATGAAGAAAGAAATAATTGATATTGAATTGGACTAAGAAATGATGATGCGGCCCAAAAGCCCAAAATATCTGGATTTGGGGAGAGGAACCAATCCGGACCCAGAATGTGAGGAGACACGTGGTGCGATGATAGACATGAGAGGAATCAACGATCCAGATTCAAGATTTAAGTGAAACGATGCGCGCAGTCTAATGACCAAAATCTCCCTTCCAAAAAATCTATCATCCTCCTGCGATGTTCAAACTGTTTCAGAGTCAAAAATTCAGTTTTGGAATCGATGGCAGAAACTGAAATCCCCCAACACTGCACTTTTTCATTGTCGCGACCTCCTCCCTTCTGTTCCCCGACAGAAATTCAGCGATTGACTTTGCATCTTGGAGCTCGGTGATAATGGATTTCTAGATCTGCACGGCTCGAGTGGGATTTAATGATAATATCCTAGCATTTTATTTTATCAAGACCATTGATCTCATTGCACCTCTATAGTCGCGCCACGTGTCTGCTAGCGCCTAGTAATGCTCGCACTGGATCCTGTTCCCCATAGCCGGTGATCCCAGAGGGAAGCAATCACAATCAGGAGAAAATAACTAGAGTGCCAACGAGAAGCGGACGAGCACTGAATCAACGGTGTCCTCCATCCTGCCTCAAGAAATTGAGGGAGCGTAGAGATCAGAGGCGTTGCAACTCGTTCTCTTTCATTACAAGGTATTCCATAGCAGCTATGCATTGCATCACTTGCTGAAATGAACGTGACCCCAATCTCGGGGGATGTGGGAAGAATTTATTGCTGAATTGGTTTCTTTATTCGACCGCCAGATGCTAAAATTTTGTCAGTTTGACTCAAAGCTTTCAATTTTTGAAAGGAAACGCAGGCAATTTCATGTGTGACTGTTGAAAATCGTAGTCAAGTATCGGGTTAGGGCTTAGAGAGCTGCAGTTGGCTAAATCAATTGATTTTTCTACTGATTTTTTTTTGTACTTGGTGTGACGGTGCAACAGAGTATCTCTATCATGCGTCGTTCCTTCTCGGTAAACCTCGAAACGGATGATTATCGATCTATCGAGCAACGAATGCGATACTTGTCCCTTGTTTTTCTTTTTAAATTTTCTTAAAATTCTGTTTCGATTTCGGGGATAACTAACAAGTTCTGATTTTGCGTCTGAGTCAATGAAAAATGTGCACTTATAAATCAAATTTTCTGAGTTGAGGCGTCTTTTGAAGTCCAGTTCTTTCGTTTGCTGATATTGTGATTATTGACTTCGCCAAGTTAAGTGCAGAGAGGAGAGCACATGGGGAAAAAATGAGTTGTGGAAACTCTTTAGCTCTTTTGTTGAATCTGGCTGGAGATGTTATTTTTAATCTTTTTAAAAATCTGCAGGCAAAAATGACAGGAGTAATTCAGAAGTTTTTTATTGCGTCACTGCTTATGTGGGCTGCCCCTCTGGCAATTCTATATGGGTTTAACCATAATCTGCTACCTGGTAAGACTTTAAAGAACTTCGTATTTCCTGGGATTGATTATGTATTTGTGGCATGGGTGCACGTTCGTTTGTGCTGTAATCTATGTGTTTGATAGTTTTTCACTATTTTATATTAAAAACTTATAACTAGTGTTTCTGTTAACTTACAATTATCAATGTACAAGTCTGCATCGGAGATTAATAATGGCAGAAAGGAAAAGGCAATGGAGGTTCTGAGTTGCCTTTTCTGGTTTCGTAGATTTAAGACATTAACATTTCTGTGTGAAACAGGATCCGCTAATCTGTCCCCGTACTCTACAACTCTGGCGAGCGGATTTCTTGCGGTCATATCAGTTAATATTGTCATAGTATTTTACATAATTATGGCAATGAGAGAACCTGCTGATAAACATGTGCCGGATCCAAAATTTCTTGCTGAGGCTAAAGCCAGCATGAACCAATCTACAGGAGACTCGCCGCAACCTAATCTCAAGAAACAAGATTAGCTCGGAGCTCCTAGTTCATTGTCTTGCAATAACTAGTAGCTCTCTGTAAGGGAGGGAAAATTTTGGGGTGAGGTGGCCAGGTCCTGAGTTTTGTACGCTCCTAAAGCTTCGTAGAAAGATCGCATGCGATTCATCACGAGCACTACTTCCCTGCCATATTTTATGGCATCAATGTCTCTTAGTGTATACAAGTTCTTTGACGGTATGTGATGCAAACCCTTTTCTTCCCGCTTTTCACTGTTTTATTTTGGGTTCTCTGCCTGGAGGGAAATGATTTGGCGGAAACCTGTGAAGATTTTTACGGCATAACATTTTCGATAGACTTTGTTTGTAAGGTGCGGGCATGTGAACAGGTCAGAGGTTAAACTTGCTGATAAATTATGTAACTTGTTTCCATGGTGATTCTTTATGGATCTAGTCTCTTTCAGGATAGGATAGATCAGAATCAGATATTTGAGCATGTGTAGCTCTAACTGGTTGCTCACCACTAACACAGAGTGACAAAGTCTCCCATCAATGAAGTTAAATAAAGTGAAGAGTATGAAACGAGTGGGCATATGATTGTGATATTAACGGGACCTAATTAATGACATCTTGTACGGTCAGCGTGGGAAAAAATGGTTGATGTCGGTGTCTTATCTTAAACGGAAATCTAATCCCGGGTTGCTCCAACTTCGATATTCTTAGACGGTAAGCCAACTTTTGACGTCATGTAATCCAACTTGATCATTTTTGTTTTGCTTGTCGGGAGCTTCCGAAGATACTGAAAACATTTTTCACCTGTGGTGCACAATCGTGTGGATGGTATTGTAAGGTAACGTGGTCAACCTGAGATTGGCATTCATCTTGTGGGATTTTTTCTCCTTTTTTTGAATTTTTTTTGGGGGGGTGTTAAAACGCGAATTTACCCTCTGAAAGAACTGTCTTTTCTATACACGAACTTTTCATTCTCTGTTGTACCTGTTCATGTCGAAGATATTTGGCGTTTGACATTCATTAAAAATAAAATGTGTGATGTTGAATGTAAAGTTAAAATTGTACGCCGATAAAATAAGTGTGCGTAAGGGAAAATTTTATGAGGACGAACGGCTGAGATTTAAATTGTCACATGATTATGTTTTGCAGAAGACGGAGACGGCTTTGCCCTGGATTGTATCTCTTTATACTTACGTGATAATGTTGGTAAAATCTTTCGAAAGTGTCTTCTCCATACACCTGGACTTTTGCTCGACGATTATTTAGCTCCCATCATCCATCTGCACTATCGACATTGGGTTCATTTGGATTAGAAGTAGGAAAAGTGAGTTATTTTTAATATGATTTTAAAAAAAATTAAATTATATAATGTGATTTATGTTTGGGTTTATTTTTATAAAACTAATTTATAAAGTAAAAAAATGGTTTGGATTATGATTGAATAAGTAAGTTTAATTTGTAGAATAACTAAAATGGATATGATTTTTATTAAATAATGAAAAATAATTAAAATCTTTTTAAAAAAATCTAGTAATTTTAAATTAGTCTAATATTAAGCCGTTTTCTTTCCTGAAAAATATATTTAAATTAAAAATCATAGTAATGTGAAAATTTTTTAACCAAATAATATCACATAATTAATTGGATGATATATTTTGAATAATTTGTGTAAATATAAAATAAAAAATATTATAAAAACCGTTAAAAATTATTTTTGCTTAAGAGAATATTAAAATAAATAACAAAAAAGTGATTGGGAAGCACAAAGAATATATAGAGAGAAACATAAAAAAAAAACATAAATATAGAGGCAAAAATGTCTTTTAATTTTAAAAAGATATTTTTGCATAAGATATAAGTAAATTTTAGGTGTCTTTATAATTGTGTTTGAAAAAACAACTTTTGACTCATAAATCAGATTGGCCGAAAATTATTACAAACAGTTTTCAAATTAAAATTGATTTCCTATACCTGTAAGCTATTTTTTGTCTGCTGAAATGCCTTACCAAATAGGCACATTTATCTTCTTGCCCAGGGAGAAAATTATCACGTCCCCGGGGGGTTGCTTGTGAGGAAATTAAACTTTTTGAGAACTGATATTATTGTTGTCATTTTTATTTGTTTGCTCAGTAACTTATGGTGAGTTTTACCTTCTGAGTCACTTTTATCATTTTTCTTAAGTTATACTTATTAAATCTCCTGATTCATAATTACTTTCAGATAATATATTTACTCAAGAAATAATTTTAACTTTTTGAAAAGTAAAAATAAAAAAGGGTTAAAGAAGCAAATTTTACGCAAGCTCTTGCAAAAGTAATTTTCTGAAAAATTTATTTAATGAGATAATTTTTTGAGAGGCATGAATGTTTGAATCAAGCTTATTAATTATCAATTTTCCGCGAGGTCGTGCAATTATTATTCTTTTTAACAAAAATATCAGGCGCCGAATAAATTGAAAATATCTGGGATATGTCGTCCCCCATGAGCTTACGTAAGAGATTTTTTCATTACGCACATACACAGTAGTGCCTAGATTTTTTCACACAAAAAGCAGTTTTTCAATTCCGTGGGTGCAATCTTCGGCCAAAAAAAAAATTCGGTGGGTGCAAACAATCCTCAAACCCAATTAATAATATCTAATAGTAGTATAAAAAAACATTTGTAATAAATCATACTATATTTAAAATTGAAAATAATACTCTATAAATCTTCTGGCTTCAGCATTTAATTTAAATAATATGATTCATGGTAACTCGTCAGTATCGACAACAAACAATATATATGAAATTCATAAAAAAATCTCGCATTATACATCTGGTTTTGTCAAAATACTCTTCCGATTTTTAATATAAGATATAATTATTGAGTTAGTTTTAGTCCTAAATATAAGATCCATTTCTCATATTCATCATTTTTTTCTTAAATTACCTCTATAGATATTCCCCTAACTATAATCAAATAGAAGAGGAAATGGAGTATTAAGAATGATGATTATGGTGTTTTAGAAAAATGTGTCACACTTCTTATAATTAACTAACTTACCTAACTTCTTTAATTTAATCAAATTAGTTAAATAGGTTTATATTAAAACCAGAAGAGTATATTTTTTTGGTTATTAACTCAAGTAGCACTCGCAACCTCATAATTAAAAAAATAAAAAAAACTAAAATCGTTTGATACTCTTCCGATCCTTAATATAAGACTCATTTAACTAATTTGATTATATTAAGGAAGTTAGGTAAGTTAGTTAATTATAAAAAAAGTGACAGATTTTTCCAAAAACACCATAATCATCTTTCTTAATATCCCCTCCCCCTCTTCTACTTGATTATGGTTGAGGGAGTATTCATAAGGGTAATTTAGAGAAAATTGATAAATATGAGAAATGGGTCTTATATTTAGGACCAAAACCAACTCAAGAATTAGGTCTTATATTAAGGACCGGAGGAGTATTATTGAGTTATAAGGTCCTGACATATAAATTTGAGTTGATGCACTGGATGAAAAAAAAATGGAAATGAAAATATTGACATATCTAGGAATATAGAATTTATCATGTCGTACATTAATATTACGCAGGTTAAAATAATTAATTGGGATTAAGGAGCAAGTGGCGGTGAGAAGATAATAAAGTAGAGCAGAAGATATCAGGAAACACCAACCGAACATGGAAAGCAAATAGAGGCAGCCCGCCAAATCTGTGAACAAAATATCTTGGGCCGCACCTCCTGACGTGGCAGCTTCCCGGTGGGATTTTGGCATTCGGCTTAGATATTTTCGCCCCAAAAATATCATAGACACATCCCACGTTGACTCCTTTTCACTTCCGGTAATTTCATCACTTTAACAGGGTTATTTCCGTCCAAAATATTCCCTCTTTGTTATACTCCCTGACACTCTGGCCTTCGTCCAGTATCCTCCTCTGCTTCCACCATTTGAGAGATATAGAGAGACAGAGGGAGATTCAGTGTGTCAGAGGCTGTTTGTTTCCTTCATGGCGATGGCGAGAGAGATAGGGGAGGAAGGAGAGGTGCAGAACAACGCGGGGAAGAGGCTGAAATGCATGAAGAATGAGGAGAAGGGTCAAACAGGGGAGGAAGCTGTGGAGGATGAAAGTGAGCTTCCCCTCCAGCCCGGCATCTTCTACTATCCAACCACTCCTACGTCTTTCGTTGTCTCCGATGCTCTTGAACCCGATTTTCCCATCATCTATGTCAACAAGGTCTTTGAATTCGTCACCGGCTATCGTGCCGATGAGGTTTTGGGTCGAAACTGGTGAGAATTTGAGTTCTTTTTGCTTTCCTTGTCTCATCATATTTCCTATATTTCTTTCTTTTGTTTTTTTTTCCCTGTGCACCTTTTCCTCTATCCTGTTTGGAAGATTGTGAGAGGGTGAAATGCAGGGTTTACTGCCTTGTTAGCTTAAAAGCGAAAATAGACAATAAATTTGCATGGTTAGTTACGGATTGTTGTTTGCGATCACTTTCTTCAATCGATTCCTCTCGTTAAATAGTGGAATGATTTCGTGCCTTCAGATCTACGCTGAATTGAAGTTTTTGATGCGTTCCAATCTCCTATCTAGAGACAGATGTCTGGTGTTAATCGGTATACATTTTTCAGAGCACATTATGGCTTTTCCCACTCTTTTTTGGCAAGCAAATGGTGTTTCATCTCTCTTCCATCACATACCTAGGGGTAGTTTCTCTTTATTCACGTCAGTCGAGAAGAGTGCTCCCTATTCTGATGTTGAAACTTCACAAGTTGGACGTTTTGCCTGCTCCTATCCTTAATTCTTGTGGCAAAATCTTGTTTTCTAGGTGGAAGCAGCGATCTACTTCTTTGTTTCGAATCTTCCCGGTGTAAGAATATTACTGGAGTTTCTTTTTTTTTTTTTGAAATTGTCTGTTGTTTGTCTTGATTTTAGTAAGGAACGTATAGAACTCCAAATCGAGGGGAGCCTCAAGATTTAGAATTTTTAAGGAAAATTTTGTTGCCATGTCTTGTGGATTGGAGAGTAAGGATTTTTTGGTACTTAGTCTTATCATCTGTTTGTGCTTATTCGAGTCATCTTCCACTGAGGAAGGATTTTGGTTAGTGGATATGTTCCAAAAATGTGACTTTTATGGCACTGATATATCATATATCTCTCTAAATTGTAACTTGCATTTCCGCAAAGTTCTTTACATCTCTAGATTTTCAAGATAAATGATCCTGACTTTTGTCGGGCATTTAATATGGGCATTGGTGGTCCATGGTTCTCTTGCATCTATTTTGGAAACTATGGTCTTCTGATTACTCATGTAGCTTGGCATTAAGTGTCTGATCTCATTGAGTTACAATATTTATTACATAGTTATGGTATGTCACTTGATTTTATACATTTTTCAAGTTCCTATTTGTTGGAAAAAAAATTTTCGTGATGGTTGTTGAAGAGGTTTTTTCATGAGAAAGAGCAAATGTTCTAAAGAAGCAGCAGAGCTCATTGAAGATGCAGTTTGCATGGGTTGTGATCCTTTATTTCCTCCTTTCTATACAAAGTATCTCCTCCTTGTCCTGTTGACTTGATAAGATTACAGGCTACAGCTTAAATCATATGTCGTTTTTGTTGAGCTTCTAGAGATTTTTTTTTTTGGCTGGAAAAAAGCCTTTAAGATTGTTAGAAATTTTTATCGGACTTTCTCCAAGTTTTGCATTCAACTGCACCATCCTAGTTTTGCAAGCACAAACTTCTCACTACTTCTCCTGGGATTTCTCTTGCAACGGTTCTTTCTATAGCCAAGGCTTAATCCTAACAAGCTGAGGAAAGAATGATGAAGGGCGCTACTGGTCATTTGAAAATAGTTGGCGACAAAATAATTCTTGTTCTTTTATTTTAATTCCTAGAGCCGTTGAATATGCCAGTTCAGTGATCTCATGATTTTCTTTTCGTTTGTATGGTCTCCGAACAGACATTTAAGAGCCAAGGGTAGGGAAGTTATCTTAGTTCTTGTCTTTATTTGACAGTTTTATTTGCTAAAGAATACCCTGTTAACCACTTTGATGTACGTTTGGTTTCAGTCGGTTCTTACAGTATAGGGACCCTCATGCTCAAAGGAGGCACCCTTTGGTGGATCCTGTTGTTGTTTCTGAGATTAGAAGATGCATTGAGGAAGGTATTGAGTTCCAAGGTGAACTTCTGAATTTCCGGAAGGATGGCATTCCTTTAGTGAACAGGCTGAGACTTGCTCCAATTCACGATGATGATGGAACTATGACACATGTAATAGGCATCCAGCTATTTTCTGAAGCAAATATAGATCTAAATCATGTCTCATATCCGGTGTTCAAAGAGACCTGCAGTCAGGAAATTGACAAGACTGGTAAAAATTTTCTGAAGAGTGGACAACCATTATACAGCCAGCACCAAGAGATGTGTGGCATTCTTCAGCTTTCTGATGAGGTCTTGGCTCATAACATCTTATCACGCTTGACACCAAGGGATGTTGCATCAATTGGGTCTGTGTGCAGAAGGATCCGTCAATTAACACAGAATGAACATGTTAGAAAGATGGTGTGTCAAAATGCATGGGGAAAAGAAGTGACCGGTGCATTGGAACTCATGACCCAGCAGTTAGGATGGGGTCGTCTTAGCCGAGAGCTAACCACTCTTGAGGCTGTTTGTTGGAGAAAACTGACAGTTGGAGGTGCAGTAGAGCCTTCGCGCTGCAATTTCAGTGCTTGCGCTGCGGGAAATCGCCTCGTACTGTTTGGAGGTGAAGGAGTTGATATGCAGCCCATGGATGACACTTTTGTCCTCAATCTTGATGCTAAAAATCCTGAGTGGCGTAGGATTAGTGTGAAATCATCCCCACCAGGAAGGTGGGGCCACACACTCTCCTGCTTAAATGGTTCTTGGTTGGTGGTATTTGGAGGATGTGGTAGGGAAGGATTGCTTAATGACGTGTTTGTTCTTGATTTGGATGCTCAACAGCCAACATGGAAAGAAGTCTGTGGTGGAACTCCGCCCCTCCCTAGATCTTGGCACAGCTCTTGCACTGTTGAAGGGTCTAAATTGGTAGTCTCAGGTGGGTGCACAGATGCTGGGGTACTACTTAGTGACACATACCTACTGGACCTTACTACGGATAATCCAACATGGAGAGAAATTCCAACTTCTTGGGCTCCTCCTTCTCGGTTGGGGCACTCACTCTCTGTATATGGCAGAACAAAAATTCTCATGTTTGGGGGACTTGCCAAGAGTGGACACTTGCGATTACGATCAGGGGAGGCTTATACGATTGATTTGGAAGATGAAGAGCCTCAGTGGAGGCAGCTAGAATGTAGCGCATTCTCTGGAATAGGCAGTCAAAGTGCTGTGGTTCCTCCACCTCGGCTAGATCATGTTGCAGTGAGCATGCCTTGTGGGAGGATTATTGTTTTTGGAGGCTCCATTGCAGGGCTTCACTCTCCATCCCAGCTCTTTCTTTTGGACCCTTCTGAGGAGAAACCGTCATGGAGAATCCTCAATGTGCCGGGACAACCGCCAAAATTTGCTTGGGGTCACAGCACTTGTGTGGTCGGGGGGACTAGGGTTTTGGTTTTGGGTGGACGTACAGGGGAAGAGTGGATACTTAATGAGTTGCATGAGTTATGCTTAGCAAGCAGGCAGGACTCCGACCTAAGGTGAATTGGCCAAACCAAGTGCACAAACTCAATTCCTTTCATGATGAGACTTTGCTGCTTTGTTGATGTCTTCCTTCTGCTCTAGTAGCTTGGTTTTGTGTATATGCTTCTGTAAAATTGTCTTGTACCCCTTGTATGTGCTTCTAGTGCCAGTGTTGATGATACTCCTTTGATGGAATATGTACGTACCGTGGGTTTTTTTTTTTTTTCCCGTGTGTATGATCTTTTTTTTTTTTTTTTGCCTCTTTTGCTGCCAAGTTATGAGAATCAGTTCTAGAAATTTAGATATGTTGGTAGGGCAACTGCGGTATAGAACTCTCTGAAACATGGCAGCCTATGGTGGGGTGACGAGAGATTTCAAATTTTCAATACCCATTTAACCATTGATTAGTTAATTGGTTAATTCAGTTCAAGAAGTTACAAATAACGGGGGTGAGAACTCCTGCTTGTGCCAATTCACAATAGCCTATGCTGCCTTTTAAGGTTAGAAGCTGATAACTAACGAAGCTGAGAGGCTTACAGCATTTTTTGTGTTTATGTTCTTTTATAAATCAATCAACATAAAATGAAGGTGCATGAATAGAATAAGTCAACTATAAACACAAAGCGAACCGTAGATTTGTGGACAACGGTTGTAGCCCGTGCATCAATCATAATTACATTATTAACATGCTCTGCCACGCCAGTTTCCTATGATTAAGCATAGGATAAAACATACGGTTGACTCTTTATACGGGAAAGAATTCGCTAATAATCAATTAAGGCTGGGAAACAAATGTAGGGAAGAACTTAAATATAATAATTATTCTTTTCGGTGAAATAAATTATAAATATAATCAGTAAGTATTTGTTATCAACTTCTTCAACAGAATCACGACTGGTGGATAGTTTATGAGTTTGTAATGTAGCAAGAGATTTACGTGTTAATATCTGATTTTGGCAACAAGCGTGATAACAAAAGGGAATCTTGTTCAAGTCTTGCCCAACCAACAACTTGGATTTACAAGATCTAAGCATAGAAAAAGAAAGGCATGACTGATAAATGATTCTTGTAGGATTGACGAAGCAAAACTGAACTCTCTGCAACTATTAAGTAGTGTGGGATCTTTATCATTTCCAAGCCACAGCATCAATATCATCTCTGGCTTGCTTGTACAATTCAAGCCTTTTTGCAATCTGCACCCTCTTTTCCATAAGCACTGGATCTTCATCCAACATAGCACTCAATTGCTCCTTCTGCATTATGTAAAGGCATTTTAAGTTCTCATCAATCAACACCAATGATTGAAACAAACCTCTAATACTAATGCAGGCTTTCTCTATCAAAATGAAGTAAATCTAGTCATTCATAAATACACATTTAAACAAAAGTCATACTGAAAAAAATTATACATATTTTATATATTTTTATGTGCATATTTAGAATCGACTTGCTATACATAATTTGATCGATCAGATCCATATAAGAATCTTTACTCGCCATTTTTCTCCCACAATCTTGACAAAAAAACCGGTCGGTTTTATGTCTAATTAGGGAAAAAAGTTATTCTATTCTGCCTACATTTGTTCCTCGAGAAACAGTCTTGATAAGGAAAAGTAAAGCAAAGGATACCAAAACACACCCTATACAAGTAAAACAGGCGGACGTGTGGATTTATTCCGGATCCTACTCAATGTTATTATCAACAAAGACATTTACAAGTATTTGCAAATTTAAACATACATGTCCTTGTTATAAATGAACTCAAATATTTCACCCTCCGATGTTGTGATATTAGATTTGTTACATCCAGAGTTCCCAAAAGAAAAACCCTTTATATCCACAAATTATTGTATGTGCTCATCATTTTCATTACAATCAAAGCAAGCATTCTTTAAGCTTTACTAAGACCGAGAGCTGAACAGTTTTTATCCACATAATAGGTTCATTGTGATATCACCAAACTCATGTACTGACCTCATCTCGACCAGGAATGGAATACCTTTAGGAAGTGTGCCTACGATGTGCAAAAATTTAACCAAAAGGTATAAAATCGTACCTCTCTCTTCCCAACTTGAACATAAAACTGGTTAAGCAATGATCTCCTGGCCTCTCTAACTTGACAATAAACCACAGCCTTTGGTATCGAATTTTTTAGTGTATCAAGAATCATTTGGATGTACGAGCTAACATTTGATGCTGAAACAAGAAGAGAGTATATTTTAACAGTAAGTAATGTATATCTTTCATCTCCTTTCAAGTGGGGAGAATTTCAAGAACATTAATGTCTAACTTTACAGATATGAAGTATAATGGTCAATGTGGATCAGAATCCAGAATACGCCGGAACATGATATTTAAATCCAGACTACTCTTGTTTCTATGCTGTGGTGAGAAGGCTTGATGGAATTTATGTACCTATCTTCCTGAGGTGATTGTCCGAGAAATTGTCAAGGAACTTGTCCTTTCTTTTTTCCTTTTCCTTCTCTTTTTCGGCATTTGGACCAGTTCGATTTGGTTCATCATTAATCTTACGGAAGAACTCCACTGTTATGTAGCTAGCCTCCATATCAACCAGCCGTAGAACTGTCTTCCTGCTTTCATCTCGAAATCTTTCCAATGATTCATTAGCAGAAGCAGCTATGTCAGACTGAAGGGTTGGAAATCTTTTCAATTCCTGCATCCAATAAAAGAGTAGCACTTGCATAAAGTTTATTCCCTTTCCTGCTAAATATTTTTCCCATCCTTCCTAGAAGCAAATATTTAGTTTCAGGGTGAAGCACGAAAAATTACGAAACTCAAATCCATTGATATGCATGCTAAGTCATTGCATTGCCTGAGATTTATGCCAATTTTAGAACATTGTTCACCTCAGTTTCTGAAATCGACTTCCGTACGAGCTCCTTTAGAATGAAGTGAACCTGAGAATGAATAAGCAAGCATATAAATATCCAAATGAAGGTAAAAGAAACTGTAAAACATAAACGATTAAAGCAAATTGTTTCCAATAGGAAATATAGATGGGCAATGCCATTCCCTATGAACAAATTTTTCCCTTCTTTCATCAAGAGCATAAATAAGGGGAAAAGAAAGTGAAAAAGTCAACATGTTATAGTATGAAACCTACCAACCTATAGCCAGAGGAAAACTAAGAAAAAGTCAACATTTTATAGTATGAAACCTACCAACCTATAGCCAGAGGAAAACTAAGTTTGCAGGAAGGTCTGGACTTAAAAAAAAAAAAACATTATTTACAGTCTGGGAAATGATCTGCAGTCAGACAAATTGGCATAGAAGCCGAAAAAAGAAATAGATGCGGCAGCTTTGAACCATGTGATGATATGGAGGGAAAGGAGGCCATTGCAACGAGCCATTAGGAGAGCCCAAACCAGGAAAGTTAATCTATTAAGTGGGAGATCCTTGAGGTTTATGTGATATTTTAGGTATTAATGTTTGCTCAATGCGGCTCATAAAGAAGCTGCTAAGGCACACAGGATGGATGAGAAAGTGCACTCAAAATATCTAGTTCGAGACCACTGGGTGGCCAGATAGTCTAGGGTCGTGAAGATTACAGCATCCACAGAAGCTTCAGCGGGGCCTTTGAAATAACTGATAGATCCTTCAATAAGTCTTCTGTACCCTTGCTCTGGCGCAATCAGATGGGGCTGATATCCATCAGCTTCTGTGACAACTCTCTGTACATTATTTAAGGTTAGATGACGATCAAATGGAAGCTTTTTCAAAGCAGCTGGCAGTTGGTGGTCGAAAACTCCATTTATCCGATCCCCACCAGGACGCCTGAAATAGTAATAGTTTATTATTAATTAACAAAAAAACATTGAGTCCCCAGAAAGTAACATAATGAAGGAAGGCGTATAAATTCCCATGGTTACAAGGCTATAGCATACTGTGAGATTATCTGATTGAACTCAGATATGGCTCTTCTAATTACTCTGCTTCTGAATGAGCAAAGTAGAACTGTCATCGAATTAAAGGAACTCCTTTGCGTGATTAATTTTCCCGTCCGTTTTATAAAGTATACTGGTCACTGTTTCGAAATTGTTTATAGGAAATCAATAGCAGGAGCACGACAAGAATACTCTGTTAACAGATTTGTTATCCTTCATCCAAATATGGTCATCGATATCCAAATTCCAAGCAAGACAACCTCACGTTTAGTTGACGAATAAATGCATGAATTCGAACACCATTTGTTTCCAAATATTTTGATAGCAAAGTGGAATTTCAAGGCAAGTAGACAACAGGAAGGAGGGAAAAAAAATCCGACGGCGAAGAATCTCTCTCTTTTTTTCCCGGGGGGGGGGGGTGTTGCAAAATGATAACTACAAAAAAGGAAATGTTAAATACGTATTTCGTCAGCAAGCACAAGTCAAAATCTACTAGGAACATTGGATATATCATGGAAAAGAGCATTGACGTACGAATACGATAGAAGAGAAACTTTGCAAACTTAGTTAAGGCGGAACTATCAGCTAATGCTAAAACTTTGTGATGGCACTCACCCTCCTTCGAGGTGCTCTCTGAACACTTTGTCAAATGCGCGACACATTTCTAAAATCGTGTATAGTTGGGCCTATAAAAACAACAAATACAACAATTTATGAGTAGGAATATGATGGTTTCGAATGATGAGAAAACTTATTTCGGCGTAGGTATCAGTTCTGACCCCGGAATCTACAGAGATTGGCCTGCCAATGCGGTCCAACTCTGCATTAAGTTCATCAATGGTCTTGTTTATTAAGGCAATGATACTGGGAATCTTCTGCCTGATAACAATCTCCAAATGCTGAATTGATAAAAGCAAGAAATGAGAGGAAAGGAAATTACACATCATAGGATGAATGAGAGGTTTGTTAAATAATATTAATAGCGACATGATCAGAATGCTAAGATAAATGAAAATACCTGGGATAAGAGTTTAGCAAGATATTCTGAGCCCATTTTATGAGCCAGATGTCCATATTCAGGGCTTGTCTCGAAATATTCACGTTCCTTCTTACGAGCAACAATCATGTCAACATTTTTATTGATATCAGCTTGTGAGCGGTTGACAATTCCAACCCATGGATGCTGCAGCCTGTATTGCCTTCCTTCAAGAACCTTGGAGATTCATATAAAAGCGCCCATCACATCTTGTTATGGTGATTAACTTCAAACTTAAAGTCCAAGAAGCATGGACATTCACATGGATGCATGATACGACGAAATACAAATGCAGTAGTGACACGACGAAACATGCGAGTTCTATTCTAGGTGCAACTTGAAGTGTTGATTCGTGTTTGATAAGAGTGTCAGATATGTATTGAATATAGTACAGACCCGTTGCATCCTTTGTTTGGTTTGGCTGGGGAAGAAGAGTAAGAGAAGTAAAAGTTGACTATTGTACCCTTACGTAAGTTTTTCCTTTTTTTCTTTTTCTGATAAAGAATAGTTATATTACAATTCATCCTTTTTTTTATAATGTCAACCGTCGTCATACTTATCTAATCTAATTTTTTTCCTATTCCTATTTTTTCAAAAAAAAATTGTGACTTTTTTTTTTTTGAAGATACAGGATAAGAGAAGTGGGAAAGAAGGTGAGAAAATTATGTGATCCATTTTTTTGGGGGCGGAGTGGGTATGTTAGTTATTAGATGTAAATGACAGCGTGAGAATATTGATGATAATAAAAAATTTGCGGGAATATTGAAACTTTTTAGGTTAATACAAACTTTGGTTTATCAAATTTGCTATTATTTTGGTTTTGGTTCCTGAAATTTCAAATAATAAGTTTTGATTTTTTAAATTTCTTTTCATTTAAAACATTAGTCCTTATAATTCAATAAAAATTTGGACCATTTTGCCCCAAACCTAAGGTTTAAAAATTTAAGGAACTAAAACCAAAATGAGAGCAAATTTAAGGAACCAAAGATTATATTAACCTAAAATTTTTAATGTTGTTTTGGTTATAACATACAAAAGTTACACTACCTAAAAAAACTTGAGTTTTTAAGAGAGTAAGAGAGGATGTGAGATTCATTAAAATTGTCTCCCATTCTCCATTTTTTCTGAACCAAGTAAGAGAGGGGAATCAAAGGCCCGTATTTAAAACCCCAACACAGAACATAACCATGAAACTTTAGACATACATCAGCGGCGTTGGTTCCTTTATCCATAAGATCCAGTTTAGTCAACACTCCAAATGTTCTTTCCCCTGAAACAAAAATAATGAGATTTTTCTTAATTAATCTTGGCTGGAAGAAACGAGAAGGAAAGAAAAATTGTTAATGCAAGCACAGTATGTAACCTCGAAATTCCTGCAACTGTAAACAAGCATACCTGAAGGATCAACTTCTTTAGCAAGTTTTATGGCATCTGAAGTGGCAATATCTTGGTTTGCTGGAGAAATAGCCAATATGATGCAGTTTGGCTTCAGAACCCAATAAAAGTTGAGTCAGATAATCTAGGAGAGAAATTGTGGAAGTCAATGATAAGAATTGATGTAGACAATGAACTTAGGAAAGGTATTCTTTTACAGAACTAATTTTAGTCGACACAGAGGATGTTGTCATAGAAATGGATAGAAAAGGAAAGAAAGGAAAGAAAAAACTCCTTGTGGAAAGTGGATGCTTGCCTTCTTCACTCATTCAGAAAGAAACAAATGACATAATTTTCTGGTGTAAACGATTTCCAAGATCAGTTTTTGATACTTGAAAATGTTGTCTTAGAATGAATGGTATAAGGAACTGGTCTTCTTTCTTTAACGGCCTGAATTTTGTCAAGTTCAGTATACCATGCTTGTTTAGAATATTAATTTTCAGTCGCATATGACTGCTGCATCAATCAATTATGTATAATATATCAAGAACCTAGTTACCTTCTCAACATAGGAACGGACCATATTTTCAATGTCTTCAACTATAGTTTCTGATTGTCCCTCTGTAAAGATGCCAATATTTCTTTACCCATTAGACAGACTGATAAATATTATTGAGGAAAAATACTCGGAAACACGTTGGCATTTACCTACTGCAACCTTCGTCAATCCAGGAAGATCTATGAGGGTTAAGTTTACAACTGCAGACGAAAGCCATGACAAATCATCAAACAATTTGGATTGGCAAGGCATACAGAAAAATCACATTAAAGTCATGGAGAAATTATGTGTCTCTCATATTCGAAAGAAAGAGGGTGAGGACTTCAAAGGAGAGACTTAGAGTTAAATTTTAATCAAATAATGTTTTTATAAGCTGCAATGCAGTGCAGTAGGCATATGTTTAATGGAAATAGTCTGGTAAGCAATCTGAAGTGAAATTAAAACCATATCAAATGCATGTGACGTCAAACTAAAAGGATATAGTTTTCTAGTATGAGTTTTCCCATTCATAAAGCTCAACCATCGTCCCTTACACAGTAGGGATATCGAGTTTATTTCACTCAAACCCAACCTCCTTTGGGACGGGTTAAATATTACATGCCTCAGTCAAATTACTTTAACGTGCTATCACACGGTAATGTACAAACCATTTGGAGAATATATGCTGAGATGAATTGGAACATTTGATATTTGCTTTGTCTTCCCAGTTATACGATCTGTTTCATCTGATATTTCCTTCCTCACAGCAGCTGCATGGGCAGAAAAGGAAAGAAACTTCAGTCCGATGAGTCATAAGCCCTAGTGTTCCCACCACCGAAAAACTAAAAGCAAACATGGCTCACATTTCAAATTTATTACCTTCTAGATTTTTTTTTTTTTTGTTCATTCTTTTGGGAAAGGTCGCTGCATTTAGAGTTAAGAGACAGAAGTGTAGGTTTATTTGTTTCTCAAATACATCATTGTCACATTTTTTTCAGAATACCTATCAGTTTCAGAACACGGAAGTAGACCCCAAAAGTGACTTAAATTATCTCCATTGTTCCCCATCGTTACCAATTTCTGTATCATATTTCACTTGTACTGGAGCAGAGGCAGATCTAAGGATTAAGAGATAGATGAAAATGATCCTTCCTACCATGGCAAGATAAACTCAAGCATTAATGCATTTGTCCAGCTAAGCGTGGCCAAAGAGAGTAGTGGCCCTTTAAATGGAATCATATGATAGAAATATAGGATCAATTATTACTGGGACTGTCGGCATCTTTTGAATAGTTAACTTAACAACCCAACATCATAAATCCATACTAAAACAAGCCCAGCAAGAATTCTCATCTCACCCACAATCATAACCCCTATATGCTTGGGAAAATAAGCTGACTTCAGTATATGTAGTAAGCATTATTGTTATTATCGTGATAATTTTTAGCTCTAATTAACAATAATTCTGCATGTTGAAAGTTGTTAGCAATAATATAGAACTTTGGGGTAACATTAAGGAAAGGGTTTCGCAGCATGTGGTTATATCTCCCATCCTCAGTGAGACAAGAAAAGCTCCATAAAATTCAATTAAATAGATCTTAAATTCTCGATTTAAACTAACGTGAGGTTGAGTTATTAACATCAAAGGAAATGTGGACTATACAAGTGACTGCACGTTAGGTTAGCTCGCACTACTGCATATATACTTGGACAGGAAAATGGAAGTTACAGTTAGAAGCTTGAAATACCAAAGTCAGTAAATCTCTTTCTTGGTGCATGGAGAAACTCGGCATATTCTTGCTGCCCTTCTTCGGTCTTATGAAGCTGAAGCACTAATGGCCTCCTTGTGACAATGCCTTAACATAAAGAAAGAAAATTTCATGAAGACATTTTGAAAGTGAAAATAACCATTCTTCAGCACCATCAATAGGATGATGACGTTTAAATCCTTAGAAGTATGCGGGAAAAAAATTGCTCTAAAACCTCTCCTAATTGCGTAAAAAGACATTGTAAAAAAAATTAACATTTCAAAAACGGCAAAAACTCAGCATCATGCTCAACGCCACTCCATTGTGAACATTTCACTCGTTGCATCACCTTTCTATTCATTGGATAACACCTTAGTTCTACTGTCCAGTAAGACAGCGAGCCACGTGCTTCTATATTCTATCTTCTTACAGTTTTTCTTATGGTCACATTGCTAAAGATTTTGCCAGATTAAAAACCAGAGGTTAAACGCCAAGAGGAGGAGAAAAATGAGCATTACCAGACCCTCGAGGCAGAAAATCCCTTCCGACCACACTTTCCAACACAGATGATTTCCCTGAGCTCTGATTTTCAGAAACAGAAGAACAAAATCAGACCAACTAGTTTTTAAACAACATAGAAGAAGTTAAACCCGATTTCAACCACACCTGACCTCCGACCACAGCCACCGAGGGAAGAGCCTCCCAGAGGGACAATCCCTCGCCGCCATGGTCGCCTAAAATTGTACACGCCCGTTGAATCTTATTGATTAACCCGATCAAGCTCGTCATAGTCGCCATTTTGCAGAATACGTTCAAGAGAAAATCAAGTCAAGTACGAGGAAAATAAGAGTTGAAATATATAATTAATCGGAGTTAAGGTTCGAAAATTGAGAATGCATAAGGTATGGAAGAGAGGTCTTTTTAGATCAAGTAGGTGAATGAATTTGCATGCAGAATGACCGTCCTGTCAGAGAAGGAATGGAAAGAATGTTAACAGAATTCCAGAGAGGAAGCGATGAAACCAAAACGGAAAAAACGGTCGCGCAGCGCATGTGTAAGTGAATTGCAGGTGAAATTATTAATATACTACTCTTCCGGTCCTAATTATAAGACCCAATTGACTTATTTGAGGAGATTAAGGAAGTAAGTTAAATTGGTTATTTATAGTATAAGTGTTGTCATTTCTAAAATATTTGCTAAGTATAGCTAACTATCATTATAAAAGGATTATCTTGGAAAAAATGCATATAAAGAGACAAAATGGATTGTCTTATAATTAGGACCAAATAAAAAGTCAAATTGGATCTTATAATAAGGACCAGGAGTACTATCTATCAATATTAATATTTCAATATATAACAAAATTCTATAAAGAAATTATATTTAAGTCATGATGAGTACAAAATTTTCCAAGAAGCACGACGCATCTAGTAGTTTAATTATAAAATTTTGTTCCAAATAAATATGATTATCATTTTCCAAGACTACGTATTGAGTTATGAATTTTCTTTTACACAATATACAATACAATTATTGCACTAATAAATTTTTTAAAACTATATCAGGTCCATCATATTTCATAAACATAACTCTTCAAGCTTCTAAAATCATCAAAATTATTAAAAAAATTTCAGAGGAATTTCTTCTACATCAGATAGAAGGGATGTATCACCAAAAAAAATAAAATAGAAGGGATATAATTGGTCTAGTTAGAAGCACAGTTCTTGTCTCTTCCTTTCTTCCCTTTTTGATTTTCTCCAAATATAATAACAACAGTGAATGAGGCCCTAGGATAGAGAGAAATTGAGAGCTTGTACTCCTTTTATTCTATAAGGTAAAAGTGGAAGAAATTTTTTGGTCTTGTTTATAAGATAGGAAGAAAATTTTTCATATGAATGGACGATTCTACCTTTCATTTAATATTGTGTTGGTTTTATTCTTATGATATATAATTATTAAATAAGAATAAAGTTGAAAAATTATTAAATCTTAAATAAAAATTAATGAAATTTAAAGTATGTATTGATTATATGAAACATGTTAAAATTGATTTATAAATAGAACCAAAAAAGTATTTTACATAAGTATGATTCACTCACCCTATTTATATTTATAAGACTTTATTTGTAAACTATAAATGGAGTCTTAATAATAAGACAGGAAGTAATATAATTTAATGTTTTCTGAATGGGATCAATGATCGTCCCTATGAAACTTGTGCTTAAAATATTTATAAACTTTTTGTGATTGAATTGAATATGCTTAAAATTATGTGTGGAGGCGACCCTCCTAATCTTGGGAAGTATCGGTCCATCCATGTATGCGCCTCCCCTGTAAATACGCTCATTCAACAAAGCTCCTGTTTGTTATGACTTATGATACGGATTTAAACTCGAAATTCCATGTTTATCATTTAAGCAAATAAGCAGATCAACACCTGTCGGTAAAATCGAAAGCTTTTTTTAATAATATGATGATTAAATAAATATTCACGTGTCTTATTACATAGAGTAAGAAGCATCGTGAAGTTAAAATTACAAGAGACTAAACAACATAATTAATATAACAATAAAAATGAGCGATGTTGCACATATTTGTGACCTTTTCAAGTACGGAACATTTCATGACCGAAAATGAACTCCGATAAGAGTGGTTCATAAAAACCGAACTAAAAACACACAATGAGAACTAAACCAAAAAATACGATATATCCTGATGGCTAAATTAACTCCTCCAAAAGCGGATCCAGAGACGACTTACTGTGAGGTTGGAACTTTAAAAAATTGAAAGAAACAAGGGGGAGCTAAAATTTATTTTATTTTTCTATAGAGGAAATTCATCAACTCTTCATGACCAACTCAAGACAGTTTACGGATACGTGTACAAGTGCTTCAGAATCTGATTTCGGATGCTACCTTTAAAATTCTACATGGCGAAATAAAGACGGCATGGTTCATGCTTCACTCAGACAGATTTATAATAACCTTGAAACTATGAAGGTATAATACAACCACATAAGCTTAAATCTCGCTCTGATTACCAATATCAACAAACCTGAACCAACACAATCACGCTATCCTGAAAATTACAAAAATATAAACTACCCAGTAAAGAGACAATAGAGGCGGGGGAATCCACCTATACAATCACACAACCACTCCAATTAATGCGGTTAGCCCGAGTTAATTTGTCTTCCTGCCTTTGTAGCCGATCTCTCTCTAACAAGAGGATACAACAGTTTTGTCAGAAGCATACCGATTCCTCCCTTGGATTTCCTTCGTGCTCCCCAAATTCATGGTCAATATCAGTAACAATGGTCGTCGGCATGCCAGTTACAAACTTATAAGCAATGGAACCAAGAGACAGCATAAAAAACCAAAACAGAGAAAGGACAGATGAATGCCTATGAAAGTCTAGTCCCCAGGGACACTTCCATAGAAGACCATATGTCATTGCGTGCTGCGCGTTAATCCTCCTCTTGTTGCAGCTCTGGACACATAAACTCCCCATCAGTATCACAATAATTTAACATGCTTCACGCTTCGCTATCTTGTCTTAAAATATATACCCAGTAACGATTCGACTTTGTCAAGCAAGCATAATTAATCTACAGCAAAAAAACGTACTTAGGTTTAAAGACAATTATTATGTTCAACTATGATTATTAATTATTCGTTCCTGATAACTCATGACTAACTATTATGCAATACACAAATATTGCCAATGCATTAGGGAATATATAGATTGGACCGTACTGATGAATGCCATCGCATGTATTTTTACAGTAACAAGAGATAGTCTACATACTTGACTTCTGAGGACTCAGAGCATTGCAATTTGCAGTAATCAGATTCCATGAGTGATATTTGCTAATAATAAGTACTATGATTTTTAGAATATCAGGCTCTCAAAATGAAATTGGTGATGATATTATCAGGAGAAGGGAAAGAATGCGGCAGACAAGGAGTACAAGTCCAAAAACAAAGGGACAGTTGAAATACATATCAACTAAGATTCAACCATGCGGGCAACAAACAGGGCTCCAGGGAAGCCAGCAAAGAACAAGAGGCAGCATGAGTTTATTAGAGTGGATAGCCAGAAGACCTGAATCAAAATCATGACAGGTGCAGTGCAGGATAGTCCATGTAACTATTAATATACAATAGAATGGCTATATCGAAGTCTGAAGTGCTTAATCAAAATACAGGAAATGTTCGGATGAGCCTTTTAGAAGTGATTTTATGATATACGAGGTAAGCATGTGAGAGGAATTTTGTCTCGACTTGAATGAAGCTTTTTTTTTTTTAAATTGATTTTCAGGGGCATCTAAACTCCCCCAGATGAGGACCATTTATTACTATTTCTGTTCTCTTTACTGTCTCATGTGCGTTTTAGTCAAAAAGTATGCCAAATGTACAAGTGTAATGCATAACAGCTGAAGCCATAAGACACCTAGAATGAAGAATAAGCAAATATCATAGGAAGACCCAGACTTGAGCAGTTATACATGGAATTTCTATTGTGTGCACAGAAAAGACTGCCGATTAGTTGTTGAGGCCTTTTCTTTTGCAATCTAGATATGCGCATACAATATGTTAAAGGGTTGAGGCCCTTTAGCAGTTTAGATTTCACTATCAAAACAAGAGGCCTGGGTCAAAAACCAAATCTAAAAAGTCTATGTTAGATAGTAATCTATGAGAGGCATTCAACACAGAAGAATCAGAAAATACTACTACTTCGTATCCTGGACCAAAGAGCCTAACAAAATATTCCTAGAAAGGAAATGCGAAATCAGGAATAGAACAAATTCATAAGATCGAAAAAGCTCCTGGCCAACCAATAACCAACAAAAAATCAAGACATCAAATTCTGTTGAATAAAATGAGCGATGACTGAAACTTCACGCAAGAAAATGTTTCAAATAAGTACCTTCCAGAAATCAACTGCTGCTGAGCACTATTTACAGGGCCCTTTGCATTACCAAACCTCTTTGCTCTGTTCTCTTGTTCTTTTTCCACACGCATAGCTGCTACCTCCTTCTCCATGACTGCTACTTCTCTTCTCATCTTTTTGGCCTCAACTTCCATGGCTTTGGTTAATGTATCTACCTTCTTTGCTAACATCTGAAAGACAATGACAATTGGCAACAATTGGCTAAGACTATGGATTGAAAATTAAGAGAATTAAAGAAGTCAACGATGGTTAAACAAAAACAAAAAGTAAAGAAACTATTGACCTCAATGGCATCATCTTTATCTTTAAGGTTTTGATCTTTCTCGAGACCAGCTTTCCTCAAGGCTAAGACCTCTTTCTGCAGCAGGTCGTACAAAACACCAGGAACGCTATCCTCTGTCTCTACTGTGGGGAACTCGCTAGGCTTATCATCTGAATTCCCTTTCCAGTTGTTGTTTTCCTTAACGTCTTTGGTTCCTTCACAAGACTGATTGAATGGATAACTAGGAGGAGTCCCATTTAGCAAAAGCTTGCCCCTTTCCAGTGACCTTGTGCCACCATCAAAAGATTTAGATGTGCCTTTAGCATGCTTTAGCACTGAGCTAGAGCTAGAAGATCTCATTTGAAAGGATGGCGATCTCTTGGATAAAAACCCATTAGATGTTAGTTTAGACATGTTATCAGCTCCACCGAGGGATTGACGTCGAGAAGGTCCATTGCTAGCACTTCTTCCCTCTGAGGTACCGCGATTACTACTGTTAGAAGTTCCTCTCAAAGTCTCCTCCACCACTTTAAGCCGTAAATGATACTTATCCTGAAAATTACAAAACGTTTACCTTTGAATACTGGCAGAATTAATCTACTAGGCAAATACAATGGCTGAAGGACCAGATAATTACTTTCAACTGTGCTTCAGACCTGGCAGCACGCTCAGTTATAGCAAGCTTCTCACGAAGTTGCTGCATCTCTCCCTATTGTAAATGGAGTCCAGCAATTAGTGATGTTATTTAAATGAAGTTAAACGCAGAAGAAACTTTTGTACCAAAAAATAAGGAAGTCTAAGCTCAAAAATCTCCAAAACTAGGTAGAACAGCAAAGCAAAACAAAATTCACCTGCAAGAATCTCCTCTCTTCAAGCCACTGTTTGACAGGCATCACTTTGTCATTGGAATCTTTCCATTCATTTGCTACAACCACAGCAACTCTGTTTGCTGTTACCTTGGCACGGGCCAACTCCCGATCAAGAGTTTTCCTTTCCTCCTGAAGAATGTCAAGCAATCCGAGCAACAGTTAATATGCTCTTAGCAAGACAATATGAAAATTAAAGCAAAGAGTAATGTCACTGGAGATTCCGGCCGGTTACATTCATTTCTTGAAATTTCCGTTGATAGTCCCTCACAGCATTAGCAGCTGCACCACCTGCAAGGACAGCCTCTTCAAGCTCCCTAACAGTTTGAGTAAGCTTTTCAACCTCTGCCACCTTCTGTCTATGCATTTTGTCCAGAATTTTATTTTCTTCCTGAGATAGGTGACAACAAAACCAAGCATAATAAGTTGAGTATTTACGATCTGATGTAGTAGGGGGGGACAACATCAAACGATATGGAAAAGTACCTGGCAAATCTCAATTTGTTTAACAAGTTCTTGATTTTTATTTTGAAGGTCATCCACCATAGAGGCCTTAGCCAAGGCAACCTGAACAGTCCTCTCTGCTTCAAGTAGTGCAGCTTCTTTAGATTTTGTAAGACGATCTAAAGCCTTGTTATCTTCTTGAAGTTTAGCAATCTACAAGGAGTAAATAGAGGGAATTGACAAATAGCCTATAATAAAATGCCCCCTCCAACAGAGTTCGCCAAAAGCTATTATTACAAAATTCACATGAACAAGTTATTACCTCCTGCCGAGCAAGCTTAAGTTCAGCCTCCAGAGGAGCAAGAATGGCTTCTATTGGAGGCATATCATCATCCTTCTGAGCAGCATGGACCCTCCTAAGAGTTGCTTCAGCTGCGAACTGAGCTGCCATTGATGCTTTTTTCTCATCATTGATTTTCTTTATTTCTAGATTCTGTAACACATGTTCAATTTAGTAAACATATCATAGAGAACTAAGGCAAGAAACTCATCACTAAAATTGAAAAAGTCTGAAATGATACTTTGCTTTCCAGTAGAGATTCTGTTAATTTCAGCTTCTCCTCAACCCTTGACAGCTCTTCAGTAAGCTACAGTATAAACCAGGAAAATAGAAACATAAAGTCACATTTAAAGCGATACTGGTGCATATACATGACAATGCAAAGCCATAAGCACAAGACAATTCAACATTTGTAGAGGAATAACTTCTAACTTGCTCAAATACCTAGATGAAAACAATGCAAAGTATGATTGAGCCAAAAATGAAATCCTTCTAACTTGCTCAAATAACTAGATGGAAACAATGCAAAGTATGATTGAGCCAAAAATGAAATCCTTTCAACTTTCACCTAGAAGGTTTAAATAACAAGCACTCGGAAATCCCCATCTCCATCCTAACTACAATCACTAGATAAACATAAGGCAAAAGGGCAAGTTCCATATCTCTACGTACGATCACATCAAACGAATACAATAACCTTTTTACACTTCCAAAAAAGGCATTGCCACCTAGTATTGATATATGAAAGACACAGAAAAGAACATTAACAGAAACACAAGACCAACAGTATCAAACATGTCCCTGTGATTAAGAGTGCGTATACAGAATCTCATGAAAGAAAAAATGTTCTTCATAAGTAATGAAATAAATTAGGAGCATATTTGGTCACTTTATCCGACTGAAAAGTAGAATAAGAATTCTCAGACAATTAATACGTTAATGCAAGGCTTGAGAGCAGCAACCATTTCATTAGCAAACATTGGATAACTCACAAAATAGCTTCTTTGGCATGCTCATTACTGACTAATGGCTTTTCTACATGGTCAAGAACACAGCCTACTTAAGCTTAACAGGACGAATTGACTTCAGACTACTATCAAACCAAAATGTTCTTGCCCGCCTTAAGCCAGCTAGAGGCTTTACTGCTGACACTAGATGGGAAGAATTCGTGGCAGTCTTCCACAAATACAGTAATTCGCGGACAATTTTAACTTACGGAGTAGCTAAAAGTTTACTTCACATCGAAAGCTACAAAATGAAAGAAAAGGCAAAAAGATGAGCATACTACATGGTGCAATCCACGTCACTCGAACAAAAATAAGAGCTTCTATTAAACTGAGAATTCATGGAAATCATTATATGAACAGCAGCAGGTTAAAATAAATTTTGTGAAAAATAGAGGTGACCTCTTCAACGGCCTTTTCTCTTTGCCGTTCGGAGAGCTTCAAGGCTTTGATCTCTGCCTGTGCTTCTGATAATTCCCTATCCTTATCTGCACAGATACACACACAGACACCCCCAATCAACACGGCAAAACACGAAGCAAAATCAGCTCAAAACCCATTGGATCGAATAGCATTTTCGCACCTCTGACTTCATTCTCCAGCCGATTGAGCTCCACTTTCACCGGATCCGACCCGTGCAACAGGTTCAGGAACTCGTCCGCATCCAAGCTCGGCCTCACCGATGCCCGCCTCCGTGACGAACCCTTCCCTTCCTTGAACGATCCCGACACCGTCACTGCCGACGGCTGAGAAGGTGTCGGTGTCGCAACCACAGCATCCGCCCTCACCTCATCCGGCGCCACCCCTCCCCCGTCGCCGGAAATATCCGCCATGGCCGATCTAACCGATACCGTTACTACTCTCACTCTCGCATCCAAATGCTCCTACTTCCAAGGATCCCAACGCCAGATCTCAACTCCACAACGTATAGATATACAAATATATATAGCTAGACAGAGTAAGACAGCTAGAGAGAGAGAGAGAGAGAATGCGAGCTTGAAAATGGCGGTTTAAGAAAGAGAAAGTATGAGGGAAATGCCTTTCGTTACGGTTGTTTATCTTTCTAGGATTAAAGCTATAAGAAGAGAGAGAATGAGAGATTATATAAAAATCTCAGTACAGAGTGAAGTTAGTAGAGAGACGCTTTGCTGTCAAGCAGGACAATACGGGGGTGAGACTTGAGAGAGAGAGACAGTGACTTCACAGTAATCTTAGCTGAAAAGACCGTGAAAAGTATAGGATCAACGGGAAGCGTAATGCGCACACCAAGCAACTGACTGCGCATTGCTTGCAACAGTGACTCCCATGGTGTGCGATGAGCACGTTCCGCGCACGCTAGCAAAATGGGATCCTATTACAGCGCAGGACAAACTAAAATGGTCACTGGCTGACTGCAATAACTCCTCAGGGGGGAAAAAAAAAAAGACGCGTAGCCGCGTATGTATTTCCTACCCGTTTTTCCTTTTGGCCGGAATTTCCTATCCGGTTTCTTTTTAGTAAAAAGCAGGTTAATATTTTTTCCTATTAGGTAATACGTCCATGAGTAATTAAAATTAAGCATTTAAGTGATATTACTAACAAACATATAAAAGTCAAATGGTGCTTGGGACACACTTAAAACTCATCTCAGAAGAACATAATAAGCACAGGCATTTCCTATTTAGTTCATTTTAGCATAGAAACTAAAAGCAATTTTTTTATGTGGAGGAACTATATAATTAAATCTTTCGATAAATTTCGTCCATAATTATCAAGAAGTTACTCCCTCATTTCCTAATATGTGATCTTTTTAATTGAACCACGTAAATTATAAAATGAAAAAAAGATAAAAGTCGTTAGCAATCTTAATTTTAATCTCTCTGAAAGAAATGGGAACATATTTTTAAAACTATCATTCTTTAAAGAATTTTCTTTAATTTCTAAAAGAAATTTTGAATCATTTAAATAGATGAGTTTTGTTTTGTGACGATGTATCGTATAAATGTTAGTACATTGAAAACCAAAAACGAACTAGCGTCATTTAAAGCACATGAGAGAGTAATTAATGATCATATAAAAGTCAACTACTTGGGTTCATTGACTCGAATTCGATGAGGGATCTGAGAAGTGAGAACAGTAGAAAGAGACATGAAAAGGAAAGTATGAAAAATAAGAAACGATCGAGCAGGGGAAAAGATCCTTGACTTGACAGAGCGAAGTCGTGCTCAACTGAACAAGGGATCATGACTTCACGGGATAGTTTTTTTTTTTTTTTTTGGGTGGGTCAGATTGTTCCATGATTAATTAACTTTAACATCGTACATTGACAACACTTACGGATCTAGATACGAGTCAGGCATTGATTATCGATTCATCATTATTTCAATGTTTCAAGGAAAAGATATGATTTAAACCTGGGATCATTGCCAAATCAAAACTTTGTATTCTTAATTTTTCAGTTAAAAAAAATAGAAATTAATAATGGCTTCAGTAACAGAATTTGCTTGTGTTGAACAGGATGATTCGTGTGTTGGATCATCATAAACATATATTTGCGAGATTATGGATGAGTCAGAAATTTGAATGAACCCATGAATGGTGCGGATGAAGCAGTGAGCAGAAGAACACGGAAGGGGAGAGTGAGGAAGAAAATGAGGTAGCTGATAGTAGAATAATTGCTCCTTCATCTTGCACGGATCAGTGAATAAATGCACGGCCAGTGAACGCAAAACCGGGGAGGAGGAAAGCTGAAGAAGACAGAGTAATTATCAGTGCGTCTAGGGAAATGAGAGACTCTGGCCTTATCAATAAAAGCGGAGCAAGAAGAAAAATGCAGATTTTGACTCTTTTTCTTTTGGACTGAGATTTTGGCTCTGATTAAGAGGAAATCACTCGGGCCGATAAAATGCATGCCCAATCAACGTAAAGTAGTAGACGAAATAGACTGGGCAAATTGATCACATCAGAGCATTTCTCGGTAAGAGGTCTAGGGTTCCTCTCCATCTAATACAAATTACGGTTCCGGTTGTTCCTCATCACTCGCCTTCCGTCAAGTTTTCTCTTCTTACTCTTCTCGCAGGCCATTACTTCAGCTGCTTCTGGTAATCCTGCGGTTTTATTTTACAGCCGTACAACAAAGATGGATCACGAATTTCGAGGAGCGCGGTCGGGATTGATAAAACTTTGATTCAATCTCGGAATGAAGATCATACGAGCAATTCAGTTTGAAATACGACCCTTGTGCTGCTGAGGCAATGAAATTGTTTGTACCTACCTGATACGGTTCTGCATGGGCTAGTCGAATAATGGGCTAGAACTTACTGTTCACTGAATATACATATAGAAGCCATTGAAGCATATGGAAGACCAAAGTTGCCTGAACCTTCTGATGCGGTTTGGAATCAAACCAAGCAGGATGTTCACAGTCAATTTGGAAGATTCCCAAAAGTGAGATCGATGTCATACAAGAATCTCGAGTCCGTTAAATGGATCAAATCTTCTTCTGCAGGAGATGGATACGCAGGTCTCAAAGGCGATGCTGAAAATTACGACATCGCTAAACGTACAGCATTGACGATAGCGGAGAAACTTGATGGCGATCGCAATTACGGACCAGAAGCTATCAAGCATTCAACACCAGACGTTGCACTTACCAGAACGCAATTGTCACAGATGAAGGCGATGACCAAACCGAGAGACGTTTGGGAAGAATCATATTTCATTACGTGCTTCTGGAAGGCTTGTTTGCTGATCCATTATAATGGCTGTGTTTAAACAGGTTGAAAGCTTCTATCGTATAGGAAACATCCCTCTGTTATCTATCGCTTCCTGGTCTAATCGGCCAAAATCTGGCGGAGATAGCCCAAGTCTGCATGCTCGAACGGTCCGACTTCGATGCGTCAGCGCAGTAATGGGAGATCCGTTTTGCTTTTCAGTGTCTGGAATCGATCCTAGCATTTCCGTCCAGTAGAGCAGAAGATGGCGCTTTTTGATTGAACTTTAAAGATTGTTGGACCGCAAGGAATATTGTACTTGAAGACCCAAGGCATATGATCTGGTCGTTGTTTTGCCAACATTAATTACTGGCAGCATCACGAATTATGTTCGTACGTAGTATACGTTTAAGCGTTTGACGAAATTGTTTCGCAGAGGTTTATACGAACGGAGACGACAGTTGGCTGCTGCTGATTCAGTTGAATCCATCTCTATGAGTAGATTTACTGAAGTTTGCGAACCATTTTTATGGAGTATCAATACATCGAACTCTTGGATATATCCTACTACCTCATGGAAGATAACAGGTCTTTCCTGACAAATATGATCCAGTTTGATTCTCTGAAAAGGATTGTCCGTGAGAAGCAGAAAACACGCTACGAACTAACTGGTTTGAGGATGATGTTGTATCCTGAGGACGACGTGCTCTCGAGCGATATTCTTCATGCGCTGAGGGTGACGTTAGATTTCCCAGTCTCAGAGAATGTGTACAAAACATATCAACGTATTTGGACGTGAAATACAATTAGCACATTCCTTTTTCCTTTTTTTTTCCTTTATTTATTTATTTTTGTGCTTAAGAAGACGCAATGCGATGTTAAATCAAAGTTTTTTTTTTTTTTGCCAACATGAAATCGATTAATTACTAATTTCCGTTTGCCATTTTCTTATTTCTTGTTGATAAACTACTTTAATTTTTAGCACATTGTAGTTAAAATTAACATTTTTTTAGTTTAAAAGAAAGTGTTTGGATTTCTGCAAAAGTGCCTTTAAAAGTATTTTTTTACAAATCGAGATAAACTTATCTGCATATTTATTTTATATGTCATAAAATCACTTCTAAAACTATAGTTTGGTTTCTATCCAAACACCCATAAATATATTATTGTCCTTGGTTGTGCTTTAATTTAATTTAAAAGGCTAAACCGCTAAACTAGTAGAAAATTTATCATGATTGAGGCAAATCTTTTTTAAAAAAAAATATAAGTACTCAAAAATTTCAAAATAAATGTGTAGCATGTAGTAATAAATTTCGATGCAAAACATAATAACAAGTCAATTCTACTCGTGAAATTTAAAATTTTGCAGTAATTTTGTTATTCATAAAGATTTTTTCAGTTCCCTCTTCCTATGACGACTCCGATTAAAACAAGAGGAAAAAAGCCGGATGTTACTTGTAATTCGGACCAAGTTATGCACGATGTTAACAGTAAGAAAAGGATCAGACCGTCATCTCAAATCATCATTGTATTATATTGCAAGTATTTTGAGCAAAAAAAAAAGGAAGTGTCGTATCATAAAGGAGAATTACAATCAAGTCTTATAAAAAAAAAATAATTACCAAAAAGTTCCAATAACAATCTCAACAGCCTATAATAATAAGTCCTATAGTGAGAATGATAATTTTTTAAACTTGTTTTTCAATTGTTTTCTTGTTTAGGACCTCATTGTAATTCTTCTTATATAAATCTTGTTCAAAGATTAAATTGAAACAAATGTTCCTTATTTATTTATTTACAATTTGATTCTAATGCTAAGAACCATCGGCTCCCTATTTTTGCTTTCTTAACTAGATCTTTTTCCATTCTTCAGATCTGCGTAGAATTACACGAACGCACATGCGCAATCTCCACCGGAGAAAGAGATTGCTGTGACAGCAACGGAGCACATGCCCTGGCTTGGCTAATTGCAACGCGGGCATGTGCTGATGTGCAAGCGGAACAATAATGGTTTCGTTTTGCCCCCCTGATGGTGGATCCTCCCGTCGCGAAGCTGCACCGTGCCGGTAATTGGTTTGGTCCCAAGTGAACTCAAATAAGCACTCGAATAAGGCGATTTCAACTTCTCAGCTGCCCAGAAAATTATTTCAATTAAAAATTTCACTCTAACTTCTAAAACAGTAAAAATAAAAATAAAAATTCATCCGAATGTTTGATACCCATGAAAAAAATTGCCCCTGCCCACAGTAAGATGTATCTGAAGCTGGTTAGGATAATGTTATAGAATAACAAGCTTATGGTGGCTATATATTTTCATAGTGCTTTGGTACTTATTTATTTGAAATATCATACTATCTCTAGGTCTATTTACGAAAAAATAAGTTAAAAAATAATTTATAATTAAAATTTAACTATAAATGATTTTTTTATAAATAAGTTGAAGGTAGTATTACATTATTTTTTAGCAAATAGAAACCTCGACTGACAACAGCTTGAAGCTAAAGCTGTGTGTTTACTACTGTTTAGTACATCGATAGCAAGGAGACTACCTTTCCAAGAGGCAAGAGCTTCCAATATCTATGTATGAGAGAGAGCTTTCTCATCTCTATTCCTTTTTCTGTTACCATTTTACGACAAACGAGCCCAAAATGCAAATCATCCATCAATCATCAGTGAACAAGGAGGAATGGGATAGAAACCATGATAACGCTGTCAGAACGAATGTCAAGCAAGCATCTACGGCAAAATTATAAAAGAAATCCATGAGATCCACCATTCGAAAACTGGAAACTTGGACTAACTTCTTTTTCCCCTGTATGAAGAACTATTCAAGGCAAGCAAAAACAATAAACCTAAAAAATGACTAACAAAAAACAAAGTGAGGTACAATGGACAGAAGTCTCTCGCTTATTCACCAATAAATTCTCCAAGAACCTCTTCTCCTCTTCTCTATCTCCTCCATGGAAGCAGACAATGGCAGCAAAGTCCAGGAATTAAAGAGAACGTCACCTGTTCCTTGACTAGGCAATTATATCTACATATAGACAACAGCAATTGGAAAACCTGCTTGTTCTTTGTAAGCTTTTGTTCACACCTGGTCATTTCCCTTAAGAATATTGTACTTGCAGAGAGGACAAGTTGCATTCATTTTCAACCATTTCACAATGCATGTGGAATGGAAATGATGGTTGCAGGGTAGAGCGTTGAGTTCTACTCCATCCTCGTATGAAGTGAGACATATACAGCATTCCTAACAAGGGAAATCGCAAAACCAAAAATAAACCATTATGGAAACAAAAGCCTAGCAGTGTCTGTGCGTTTTTGTTAGAAGAAAGAGATATTCTTTTACATAAAAGGAACAAATACAAACAGAACATGTAGAGGAGAGATTGGATCTCTACCCTCAACAATGTTTCTTGCATGCGGGGCTTCCATAAAATAAGGCGGAAGGCATAACAACAAGCTCAAGTAGAAATAAACAAGACTACATATTACATTTTGAATTGATGTTAAATGAGTCTAGTGGTTTTTTTTTTTTTTTTTGGGCCAAAGTCTAGTGGGATGTTTAATCGACCATACTTCCAAAAGAAGCTGATATTTTGCTCTCATAGACACTTTATAGACTTTATACATCGAAGATCATGATAAGGTAGTGTTCTATTTTTTTTCTATAAATGAAAAGTTTTTCGCACTCATGTAGCATTTAAAGGTTGCATATTGCACCCTCCAGGCAAGATAATATATAATACTCATTAAAGAAGAAAACAGCAAAAGAAGGAAGCCTTTAACCCACTTGTTAAAATTTTCGGATGATAATACCTCTTATACTTTCCTAATTTACATTCAAGTTAACGGCTTCCATTTTTGGAAAGCATCAAACGACAATGCCTATTATATTAGGAGTGCCAACTAGCCAATACTCTAATCTACTAGACATTCTACACTATGAAGCATGTACAGAGCTTCTGGTTAAAAAAAAAGAAAAAAAGCTTGTACAGAGCTACTGCATTTTTAATGTGCATTGACAAATAAATGCATGATTAGGAATAATCCTTTTCATTTAAGTATAAATGGTGAGTTTCACAAGTAAGAGAGTGAAAGAATCCAATTATTATAAATCAGGACAAGCATACCGCATCTTCAGGTAGAAGTACTCTTTCATTTGCCAGGTACCCACTAGTCGTTTCTAAAGGAACCATTGATCCTGCTCCACCAGTAGGCTTTTCCTCATTGTTTAACATGCGAAACCTATATTTCGGGAGTAAGCTAAGATCTGCTTCTGATGCACCTTCCTATGTTCTCGCAGGAGGAAACAAAGATGACAATTAAAGGCCCACAACCATATGAAAATATGTCAGTTTAAAATGTAAATGATTGTATGTTGTACCTGTCCAGCAACTGCATAGAGAATAGCAATGATGCATGGCAAACAACAACAGAGGGCGATGCCAATCAAGCAGGCCAAAACAACACAAAAGATGGCAAAAAAGACATCAAATGCCAGAAAAACAACAGCCAACCTGTACAAATTCAAAACAGAGATCTCTTCAGTCGTTACCTAAAATTCAAAATTCATCATACAATAAACCAGTGACAGGAATTTGTGAAAAAACTTCCTCCGAGGTTCTTTCTAAGGGAACATATAGTTTCAAGAAAGATGATTTACAGATGCAAAGGTCATCCGTTTGCCTCTAACCAATAGCTTAAATTTTGGGGCATATTTTGACTAGAGTAAACCAAAAGAAAAGGGATACGCAACTGCTTCCTCGTATACTCGGATAGGTCATGCCAATTAAATAGGAAACAAAAAGACCAGCTGCTCATTCTCAGTAATCTAAATTTTCAAAGATGATATCCTGAGAACTAGCAGTTATAATATGCATAGAAAAGAGTGAATCATTATTGAAAAACTTGAAAGGAACATTATAAAAAGGGAAGATTAAATAGAAAAGGAGACAGGGAGGCCGTAATTTAATTTGTATTGTGACAATATGCACTAATTCATCATATAACGGGAATCATAAACTTTGGTGGAATTTCCGAGCGTGTGCCCACTAGAAAGAATGATCTTGACAAGTTTTATGCATATGAATTCTCCATACACACAATAATCATCAAACTTTGGTGGTTAGTATGCATTTGTGCTTTATGAGACTATCTCGCATACAAAAGTTACTTGCAAGAGTTAATTGAAGAAGGCCATACCAATACAAACGTGGAGCATGTTGCAGAAGAGTCTCGCCACCTGAGATTACCCAATAAAAGCCAACTATCCACCAAAGGAATGAAACCATGGTATTCACTGATTCACATCGTTTCACGAACCTGACTTATAAACAATTGAATCAGTATATGCACGTAGCACAACTCAGTAAGAACACAATGATAAGACAGATTATATATTACCCTATAAAACAACGATAGATTAACATGTTTTTGGTAGACAAGAAACTTCAAACAACAACAGACGTTATATTTCACCTCCCAATATATTGAAATATCCACAAGTCTAGTCTTCAGATGACAGAGTAATTACAACATAAGGTCACTCGTACTCACTTTTTCTTTGCAAAAAATATGAAGGGAAATAATGAATTCGCTGAAACCTATGTAAAAATTAGTGGCAGTCTTAGATAATTTAAATTTTATATCAGAAATTGAGGATATATTTTGACAGTCTATTGTTTAGATTGTCCAGAATAATAAAGCAGACAAGAAGAACATGTCGTGATGAGAAAAAGCATACGAGAAGGAAGCTCATGAAGTTGAGTAGAATTGATGAGTTGCTGCATTGAAATAGGAGGGTCAAAAAGACAAGCGTCCAAAAAGCAGACGGGAAGCAGAGAGAATTCTTATTAACATTGGCTTGGGGCATTTTCTGATCTTCTCTACACTTTCACTCTCTTTTTTTATTCACATCCATCTCATGTTCTCAACCTCCAACATCAGATTCCCAACTAAACTCATTTGCATGTCCTAAACAGCGACTTAAAAGAATGACATTTTCCAATTGCAACCAATAGCCTTTACAAGGTATCTACCTGGTTTTAGCCTGAGAATACATAACAAGGAGTTAAAAATACCAACACGGAACCATACCTTCTAGCTGAGCTGGAAGAGAAATCACATATTGCAGTTTGACATTTTTCAATATTCAGATTACAGTTGTTCCAAAGATGATCCAAATATAGCATGCCTTAACTTCTCATGGATCCTAGTAGCGTGATAAAGAAACTCCAAAACACTGTCCTCATGTTTATCCAGCAGTAAATTCTTTTCATGATTTCTCATTCCCACTTCCCTTCCAATTACTTTCTTTAAGTCCCAAAGTCTCAATGCAATCACATGAAAGTCCCTACCAAGCGAAACCCATTCTACATTCACATACAGGTGTTTGTGCCTTTCTGGTCAAGGACATTAGGTAAATTTATCTTTAAGGCTATATAATAAAGCTACAAAATGGAAAACCGTGTGTGAAAAGAAAGCATGGTGAACTTACTTGAAAATCTCAGCTCCAGGAGGAACATAATTGAAACTCTAAAAATCAACAAAAAGAACTGTAAAAACGAAACTAATAACACAACCCACCCAGCGCGAGACGAATTCAATGAACTCCCATCTCCAGTTTCATCGTCCTCGCTGTCGTTAATATCGTCGGTATTACGAGCTTCAATATCCCCTTCCTGAGCCCTCCGCAACCGCGAAATCCTCGCAGTCCTCCTCCTATACTCGAGCCACACAAGCACCACATGAACTAGCACTGCGCGGCGTACCCACAGATCCAGAGCCGGATCGGCGTGTTAGGCTTCTCGTCGGTCGTCAAAAGAAGCATCACAACCGACACCACAACAAAGGCCATATTCCACGTGATGTCGAGAACCACAACAGGCCTGGAGTAGCCCCAATCAGCCCTCCGCTCCTCCAGTTCGCGAGCCGCAGTCTCCCGCACCAGCATGGAGGGTCCCCGACGGCCGACGGCGCGGCCGAGAAGGAGCGCGAGGGTAGGAGTCCTGGGGGCATCAGAGGAACCCTGGCGGGAACGAAGGAGAGGCGCGTGGGGCTCAGCCGCCGACGTGGGAGAACTTTCCGACGACATGGCTAGAGGGAGAAGGAATTGTGCATAATTGAAATGGAAATTGGAATTGAAAAAATTGAATTAGTGACAGTAGTAGTAGTGGCAGCAACAGGGAGTGACCCAAGAAATGGGGATTGGAGGCGTGGAAGCTTACGAGGTAAAGTTGTATAAAAAAGAGGGAAAAGAAAATGAAGGAAAAGAGCGGTTTCGGAGGAGGGATAGGGTCATAGGGATACGTTGACAGGTAGATAGAGGGAAATGGTCGTTGAAACTCCGGTTGGCCAAAACGAGCGTGTCTAGGGTTAATTAACCATATTCACCACTCGAACAAAACAATACTACTGATTACTGATTACTGATTACTGACTACTCGTAGCAGAAGTCTACGCCCTTCTTGAACTCTTGAGGAGGGAGGGTGAGCATTTTTCGCAGGGAAATATCGTTTTTAAGGCAATCAGGGGAACAGGCCATAGCTTACAAATTACTCTTTCGATCCTGAATATAATATTTTTTTATAATATAAATTATACTATAAAAAGGGTTTTATATTTAGGATTAGAAAAATATTAATTTATTTTAGTTTTGATGGTCTATGAAATAAATAATTCTTGAGAAATTATATGATTATGACAAATTATATACATACTATCATATTACAAATTATGACAAATTATTTTTCAGTTTCTTTATGATCTAAATGTTTTTTTTAACAAATTTGTTGGTGTTTAAAGTTAAATTAGAGTCCAACTCATCCTAATTCAAACTGAATCAAGTTCCAAACAAGATGTAACCTTATCCATTGATTTTTTGTACTTGTAAACTCGAATCGGAAACTCTGAACTTGAGCCACTAATAATCTTTCTTTTAAACTTGTATCAAGTGAATTGGTAAACAACATCAAGTCATAGCCATGATCATTGCCGGGCCATTAAGGCCATGGCCTTTGGCCTCACGTAAAGCTTGCTCTTATCCCACATATTCCTTTATTGGGATATCTTCCATCAAGAAATTTTTTAGTAAGGCAGTGAGTCTTGATCATTTAGCAATTCTTATGAATAAAATCTCTGTGATTCTGTTCTTAAAATAGCTTTATTTTATTTTCTTTTTTTTTTAACTTTAATTATTGAATATATGTTTGCCAACCGCTAATGAGTGTACTCGTGATACAAAGACATGTTACGTGTCTAATTCTCTTTTGGGTATAATTCCCAGCTAGCTTCCTCCAACGAAATTAATGCTTTTGGACGACGTATGGATAAACAAAGACATGTCCATATCGATTTTTGCAGCTCAGCCCAACAAGTCAACATCCAGCGTCTTGTCTGCATCTTTACTGAAATTCTTGAACTTATGCTTTTCACATTTCAAGGATGACATGCATTTCTTTTAGTCAATGAAATCTTTGCTGCTTAATTTATGAGTAATTAATCATTATGTCTTATTACTGGCGGTTGAAGAACTCTGTCTCTGTCACAGTGGTTGAGCAATATCAGAACTATCTTGTTCTGCGTCCCAAGGAAGATGACGACCTGCGTTTTGTACCCAGTTTTGGGGCTTGCCTATTATATTGCAAAGATTTACTCTAGCAGTTTATCCATGGCAACAGAATAAATAATCGCTTAGTAGGTAATCTTGTTCAGGTTTCACGGGTTAGAATCTACGATTCGCCTTTAGAATATCAAAGCTCTAATATCTCTTACTTATTGAGAAGTTCATAAAATATGAGTTGCCAGGAAAGTTAGCGCCCCCATTTCCCACAAACTTGTCTTTTTGAGATTTAATGGATAAAAGATGAGTTTTGGGCAGACTTGAACCCCAAAATGTTCAAAACCAAAATACTCAAAAGAGAAGGTTTGAAGTGCGGTGGGCAAGAAGAGATAAGTGAACTGCAGAGGGAAATAGGAGACGAGACATGCAGCCATTTGCGTGAAAATGACGTGGATTTAGTTTGTGGTGCCACGAAGAGGAAGCATCCAGAGAACCAAGAAACGAACCTGGGCTTAAATAAAAAAATGCCAAACTTCAGGGTGATGATCCAATCACTACTTCAACAATTACTCTAGGTTCAGCTAAATTTTCTGATATTGCCAGTCCAATCAAATCCCATATGTTTTACTGCAAAGACAACCAAGAAAGGAATGGCATTCTGATTGCAGTCATCAAATGACCCCAATCCCCGTCACGAGGTGGCTAATCAAATTAGGTACACCAGTTTCAAATGACATAGCCAAATGGTCAAATGCGTGTTTGCACGTGCCTCACTTAAACGGTGAATTGCAAATACCAAACGAATCTTTTAATTAGGATAATAAATTAGACATGAGCAGGTATCTTCCCAGTCTCTCAGTCTTCTTGTCTCTCTGACATAATTGACAATAAACTCAAGATTCATTTAACAAAGACTCGATGAAGAAGCTTACATGTTGCAGCTCCAATGTTGCGGAGTTGGATGGTATTCAGAAGTTTCTAGTCGTGCCGGATTTTTTTTGGGGGGGGGGGGGGAAGAGGCTTTATAATGTTTCGGTTGTTTATAGTGACTTGCTGAGACAATATGCTTAGTGACAATGTGGGAGGGTTGCCTGCTGAAAGTATGAGCTTTTTTCGCTCCAAGGCTCAAAACCTTCCTTCTCAAGCAAAAGTTTTAGTTAATACTATCTCTGGTTCTAATTATAAGATATTATTTATAGACTATAAACAAGATTTTATAATAAGATTGGAGGAAGTACTAACCCCGGTCCTCAAGTTGAGGCTTAATTAATAATTTAAGTAGATAATGATGTTAATTAAATTAATTAATATGATATGTTTTTTTTCCTAAAGCACCTTGATCATTTTCTTTTATTCCTTCCTTTTTTTCTCATTTAATTATTGTTGAGAAAATATAAATAAGATTAGTTTAAGAAAAAATTAATAAATATGTGAAATATGTTTTACATGTAGGATCAACAACAACTTTTACGTTAAGACTAGAGGAGTAGTTTTTTAAAAATGTTTGGAGTAGTTTTTGGGAAAAATGACTTATGACTAAGAATTGGCTTTAAAGGAGAAGCAATTTTTTAAAAAAGAAAATAGCTTTTCTTCATATTTAAATATTGTGAAACTGATTTCTCAACATATCATTTAAATAAGAAGCATGCTCAAACATAAATTATATCACACTAATTAACTGTTTTTATAAGCATATATATCATGTTATTGGAGATCGAGTCACCGTTGAGCATTAAATATGAATATCTTATGCTACTTTTCGTTTGTAAAAATTAATGGAAACTTTTCTCGTTAATCCAAACAAGCCAATCAAGTTCGGACACTATGAGCTGGAACATCAAGTACGAGCACACTCACAATCTGCCAATAAAATTCGCTTGCAAAAATAAATGAAACATCCTTACATGGTAAAAGGGTGATTGAATTAAGCCCTGTGTTTAATTGCGATTGAGTTATTTTAAATGTGATGGATATGGAGTTGTTAGTTCATTCTGGTTTTTTAGTCTCCTATTAAATTATGTTTTCATTTTCGACTAAACATTCAATAGACAAGCACTTTAATTCATCTATATACTATTAGTATCAGTGATAACTCCTGTAAACTGGAAAACATTGAGTCCTCATTGATCTTGTTTAATTGCTTTAATTTCAATTCTCAACTTCGTCTACAACAGAGAACCGGACACATGTTTATATTTATATCATGGAGATAATAATTTTAAAAGTACTTTTATAAAAAAATATTTATTTATTTTTTAAACATCTTAATATTTGAAAAATTACAAAAAAAAGGCCATGAAAACTGTAAAATCCTAAGTCAAGAATTTTTATAAAAATTTGTTACCATCTGTAAATTATTTTTTGTCAAAATCGGTTGAAGTGTTGTCATGATTCTCGATATAAGATTTTATAATTTTTACGGTTTTTATTCTTAATCTCATCAAAATATATGTAAATTGTGAAAGCATAAAAAATTATATGAATTTCAAGTCTAAAAAGGAACCATGGTTAACAGAAGGGAAGTTATAAAAACCTTCCATTGAAATATTTATTACTTAATGGTATATAAAATTTGTTTAAAGATTCAGTTTCTTGAGCTAATGTAACTTTTTTTTAACTGTGTGAAATTCATCACTAAATACGTGTAATAGTTTTTGTACAGGTCCTATTTTAGAGGCAAATAATAATAAAATATTTGTACAAAATTAAAAATATATTGCAGGTATTTGAAGAAGAATTGTGCCTACTTAAAGACCAGAGTTTTTTTGATAACTAAAGACCAAAGTTTTCATTTCAAGTATCTTTGAGTCATAAATATTTCAATTCGAATTTTCAACAATTTTTTCTTAAAAAAACATATGAAGTGATGAGATACCAAAACTTTGATAAATTGTACTCACCATGTTAAGTCTTAGAATTGAATAATTAATTTTTTTAAAAAATTAGATTTATTCCAAGTAATTAAAAAAATTAAATAGATGAAAACAATTTTAATTGAAAGACATCCGTTAAGGGTTTAGATTTTTAAAAACAAAGCAAACTACAATGGAGAGACAAAGTTGCAACTTGGATGTTTTAGTTAGCGAAAAGGGAGGATCGTATTCCAGTCCCAAATAATCAAAATAGTTTCGCTTCCCCGCCACGGTCAGTAATTAAAACCTTCACAAAACCCTACTTTGTTTTTCATTCGTCCCTCTTGGACCACTACTTTCTTCTCTTCCCTGTAATTTGAAGTAGTGGCTCGATTTCTGTTTTTCGGGGAACCAAAAGCAATTTCAGATAAGAGAGTTGGACTTCAAGTTCTTCGGCTGCTGCTCTCCTTAGTGCTGTGTGGATTTCATCGGGATGTCTTGGAGGATGAGATTGTGATGCGTGATGTTACAAATGCGGGCCTTGTTGTGAGTGATCGCATTGGGCGAGAAGTTGCGTCGCAACTCGACCTCGAAGAATCGCTAGAAGCATCCAGATATGCCAGTCATCCATATTCAGCTCACCCGAAAGAGGTAACTTCTGCATTCCCGTCCGATACTAGAGAGACTCAAGTTTTAAATGTCAGCATTGAACTTTATACTCTGTTTATATCGATAACAAAGGACGGTTTATTGTATGCTATAAATTTCCCAGCAGCGGGACAAGCTTGAATCTTTTATTTTGTTATAAGAAGTAAGATTCCTTTGAAAAATTTTGAGTTATCACTACTGCGTTAAGCAAGAATATGCTTGCATGATCCGAACATTTACATGAATTATTGTTATTTTGTTAACTGTCGTACTGCTAGGTGAATA